CTTTGTCTCCATGTTGTTTCTTGGCCAGATCTGAAGCGCTGGAAGAACCGTCTCCAGCTCTTTGGTTGTATTCCCTTCTTTTGCAGATAACCCCAGCAGTGAAATAAGCCACTCTTACGACAGCTAAACTAACCGATCTACAGCCCTCCTTTATACACTTGTGGGTTGGTTTGTTTGTTTGTTTGCTTTTACTGTGTTTTTAATGAATGTATGATGAGAAATTCAACATTAATAATTTTGAATTTTCTTGTCACAAAAAGATAAAATGAAGGGCCTCAACCAACAGAAGAGTTTTTCAACCAGTCTGAATCTGTCTTCACTTGAATGTCTTTGAGAATATGTAAAAAGGAATTAAATGCACCTTCAAGCAGTGTGCATGATAAGAACGTCGGTCATTGTATATAAGCCTTTGTCATATTCCCCCCTCAAGATTATACACTGTGCTTGATGAGTGAACATTAAACAAATCTGTTACCAGTCGACATTTTTGGTTAATAAAATTATAGGCATTATTTCACAAACAAAATATGTACAGCAATATTAAAATCTGAGTTCTGTATCTACTTTAATAAATGTTTGTTTGTTTGTTTGTTTGGCCAGTGATAGTAAACACATACTATCCTTGGGATTATTTGTCTTTTTTTTTTTTTTTCAAATAAGAAAGTCCTTTAGATCCAAAAGCAATCCTTTTCTCCCTCTATCGCTGAGTCATAATGACAGGTCCCCAAACAGCTCCTTTCATGTCTATAAAACAACTTGCTGAACAACTACAACAAGTTGGTGTGTCCAGCTGGACTCTTATCTGGAAGCAGAGGCAGAAGTTCAAGGCCATCCTTGGCTATGTAACAACTTGGAGGCCAACCTGGGCTATATAAGACCCTGTCTCAAAAAGAGACAGAGAGGCCAAGTGTTGGGAGCACACAGCTGCAACCCCAGCACTCAAGAGGCAGAGACAGGCGGATCACTGTGAGTTCCAGGCCAGCCAGGGCTACACAGAGAAACCCTGTCTTAGGGGAAAGTCAGCAGGAGCTGAGTTCATGGTTCAGTGGCACAGCGCCTGCCTGCCCAGCATGCACAAAGCCCTGGCTTCCAGCCTCAGCACCTCACATGCTCACTTGGGAATGATGCTGAGGGTTGTGTAAACAGGGAAAGATATGGAGGGGCCTGGTGGCAAATCCCTAATCCCTTGGCACTGGGGAGGTGGCCTTAGGAGGGTATAAATGCAAGTCTTCCTTGGTGCAGAGCAAGGAAGTATCTGAGGCCATCCTGGGATACATGGAAGAACCTGTCTGGAAAGAAGCGATATCGAGGAATTTTAATTCAGAACACGGCTCTTTTCTGGCAAGAGATCACATCCAAAGACCTTCTAGGTCTGTGTGGTCTGGCTAGAATACAAACACACCTTCAGTCCAGGAGACAGAGGCAAGCAGATCTGAGTTCAAGCCCAACCTGGTAGAGAATACGTTTCAGGTAAAGAAAAGCTTAGGTGTGGTGGTATATGCCTTTAATCGCAAACAATGAAGGTAAAGTTAGTTTGTAGAAGGAAGCACCCATGTTTGAAAGTGATCTCTAGTTGAGTGGCAGAGAAGATTTGACAGAATAGGATACACCCAACTCTCATGAGAAGAAAGGGAAGCCACTTAAGGGGTGATGAGAGAGAGAGAGAGAAGGGAGTTTTACCAGGACAGTAATAAGTTGAATGAGAGAACAAGCTTGACTCAGGTGAAGGCAGAAGGAGCCAGAGAATGAGAAGGAGCCAGAAGATGAGAAAAGATTTCTGAGGTTAGTTTGAGGCCAAGCAGAGTAATTCAGAGGCCAAAAGAAAAGCCAGATTGAATAAGTCAACTGGGAGAGGAGTTTGAGCCAGAACAGCTGAGTTGAACCAGTCAGCCCAGGGCTCAGAAAGAACAAGAAGGGTGAGTTTATTTAGCAGTAACTCTCAGAGGCTGAGAACATTTCTAGGCCTCGGTTAGAGGGAGGCTAGAAGCTTTCAGGAGTCGGCCTAGATTAGCAGATAGGCAGTAAGCCTCCAAGACAATTACCTCAGGAGGATAAAGTTCCTTTTACAAAAAGAAGCTGGGGAAGGTAGCTCAGTCAGGACCTGAGTTTGATCTCAGAACCCACAAAATTGAGTATGGTGGCACACACTTGTAAGCCCAGTACAGGGGAGACAGATAGGCCCCTAGGGCCTTGATGGCCTAACCTACTTGGCAAGTTTCAAGTCAGTAAAAGAATTTTACAAAGGTTGTTTGTACCTTAGGAATGACAACCAAGGTTGGCCTGAGCATGCATCTCCATATGTGCTCACAAACTCTCTTTTTCTTTCTTCTTCTTTCTTTTTTTCTTCCTTCCTTCCTTTCTTTCTTTTTCTTTCTTTCTCAGCAAAACCAAAAGAAGCCATGTGAGGTGTACATCTGTCATCCCAGCACTTAGAAGAGGGATCAAGAATTCAAGGTCATCCTCACCAGTGGTGCACGCCTTTAATCCCAGCATTCAGGGAGGCAGAGGCAGGTGTATCACTGTGAGTTCAATGCTGGGCTGGTCTACAAAGCAAGTGCAGGACAGTCAAAGCTATACAGAGAAAACCTGTCTTGAAAAACAACAAAACACGGGCTGGAGAGATGGCTCGGAAGTTAAGAGTACTGCCTGCTCTTCCAGAGGTCTGAGTTCCAGCAACCACACGGTGGCGCACAACCATCTATAATAAGATCTAGTGTCTTCTGGCGTGCAAGTGTATATGCAAATAGAACATTGTATACATAATAAATAATATATATACATATATTTATCATGTATACATAATAAATTATATATATGAAAAACAAAAAAAAAGTCTTGGATTATCTACTATATCACAACATTAAGAGGGACTGACAGGGTCGGGGATGGGGGCACACAGTCTACAGTCCATCGAATAAAAAGAATCTGCACACACAAGCTCTTGCTAGCTCAGCACACATACTATTAACAGCTTACTTGCTTCGAGTTGACTCTCCAGATGGCCCTGGAGGCACACGGTCAACACTGGCAGACTAAGCTTAGGCATCCAGGTGTTAAGAGGCAACCTGGTTGACCACCTAAGCAGGGGGTGACGCTGAGCTCTCGCTGGCAGCTCTGTGCGCTCCCCGCACCACCACCCCGTCACCCAGATTGCTGGCTCTCTGAATAAAGCACAGCTTACCGCCTGTTCTTGGTGGGGCTGGAGGTGGCTCAGTGGTTGAGGGCATTTGCTGTTCTTCCAGGGGACTGGCGTTGGTTTCCCAGCACTCACATGGCAAGTCACAACTGCCTGTAAGTCCAGTTCTAGGGCATCTGATGCCTCTGGCCTCTGAGGGTACCTGCACACACCCAGAGGCACACACCCACACTCATAATTAACAATAAAAAGTCTTTAACATTCCACTCTTGACCCTTTTTAAGAAACATGACCTTTAGTATTCTGGTTCCAGCAACATATAGTCCTATTTATTCGTTTTTTTAGTGCTTGGGATCAAACCAAAGGCCCTCCAAGTCTCAGGCAAGCACTGTACCACTGACCTCTACTAGAAAGGCTCAGAAATTACTATTCTCCTCCTTTACCTCCTAAGTGCTGGGATTGTAGGTGTGTGCCACTCTGATTAGTAATCCACAAATCTTTAGGAACTCTCAAAATGGTTAGGATGTCTATCGAACCAGTTGAGTGCTCAACTCTGACTATGTGCTAAAAATGACCATATTCCCTCACAGCTGTTTCAAAAACACCATTGCAAAGTAAACAATACCCTGTAACAGAAATTCTTCATTTAAGTGTTTACTTGAGGCGATTGGGCAGGCAGGAGAGCCGTCATCACTGTCAAGAGTACTTGCTGATCTTGCAGAGGCCCTGGGTTTGACAAAACACTCATTCACATAAAATAAGCATATCCAAAAATAACTTGTAGTGTGTGTGTGTGTGTGTGTGTGTGTGTGTGTGTGTGTGTGTGTGTGCAGGAGCTCTCATGGAGGTCAGAAGTGGTCATTAGAGGAGCTAGAACTGGAATTCCAGGCAGCTATGAGCTACCCTGTGGGTCCTGGAAACTCAGTTCTGGTTCCCTGGAAGAGCAGTGTGACTGCTTGAGCCATCTCACTCTTCCATCTATTTATTTATTTACTTACTTACTTATTTACCTATCTACTATTTTGTGTGTGTGTGCGTGTGTGCGTGTGTGCGCATGTTTTATTTGAGACAAGGTTTCTCTGTGTAACAGCTTGGCTGTCCTAGAACTCTCTCTCTGTAGGCCAGGCTGGCCTCGGACTCATGGAGATCCATCTGCCTCTGCCTCCCTGAGTGCTGGGAGTAAAGGCAAGCATCACCATGCCTGGCTCGTCTCTTCACTTTTTAAATGTGTTTGCCTGAATTTATATATAAGGACTGTGTGCATACAGTGCCCTTGTGGGCCAGAAAGGGTATTGAATGCCCTGGAACTGGAGTTGCAGATGGTCAGGAGCCACCGTGTGGGTGCTGGGAAGCCTCTCCTCAGAAGGAGCAGCATGTGCTCTTAACTGCTGAGCCACCTCTCCAGAGCATTTATTGTTTCGTTATTTGGAGACAGTGTCTCACTGTGTAGCCCTGGGTATCCTGGAACTCATGTTGACCAGGCTGGCCTGGAATTTAGAGGACCCCCCCCCCCCCACTCTGAGGTTAGGCCGCTAACTGGATGTGGTAATGCGCACTTTGTAGTTTGGCTTCAATTGCCATTGTACACCAGTATTCTAGCTGCGAAAGACAGAACTGTGTTGCTTTTAAGTGTGACAGATAACATCTCATCTCCGTCCCTCAGACGCACTTTTCAGCGCCCACCGTCTCTACACAGAAGCAAGGTAGGAAAACAGGCCAAAGTGTGGAAAAGCCTCTCGCATGCGCACTAGGACCTCGAAGGAGCTTGGCCAGAAGGGTCCACCTTCCGGGTTAAATGCGCATCAGCGACTCGGGTCACGTGGGCGCGCCGTCACGTGACCGTGGCCGCTCCTGGGAGGCTCGGGTCAGGCAAGATGGCCGCGCACCTGTCGTACGGGCGAGTAAACCTGAACGTGCTGCGCGAGGCGGTGCGCCGCGAGCTGCGCGAGTTTCTGGACAAGTGCGCGGGGAGCAAGGTGAGGGCGGGACTCGGCGCTGCCAGGCCGGGCCCGGCACGGCTTTGCCAGCTCCCGGGGCGACCAGGCCGCTGCTCTGGGACAGCGGAGTACGCTCCGGGTCTCCCAGCCCCGAGCTGTCACTCCTGCGAGAATGTCATCCGTCCACGCCCACAGCCCTCGGCACACATGTAGTGAGAGAGGATGGAGCGACTTCAGACTTTAACTTGGTCTTCACCATGGATCATTTTGCCTATTAAAGCCCCCCCAGTTTACAAGGGAGCCGGACTAGATCGGGCACTCTATATAGAATTTCCTTCCCGTTTTTTTTTTTTCTCTCTCCCCCGCCCCCGTGTTAGTTTTTTGAGGGACTCACTGTGTAGCCCTGGCTGGCCTCGAATTCACCGAGATCCACCTGCTTTTGCTTCTGAGTGCTGGAATTAAAGCCCTTTGCACAGCTGTTCATTTTAGTTTTGATTCATTTTAGTTCCTGGCAGTAGGACTGTACCTGGTTGTGTAACCCAGATTGGCCTCCAGCTCTTCTCCCATTCTCCTGCCTCGGCCTACCAAGTGCCGGCGTTACAGACCTGAGCCATCGTTTGCCTAGCTGTGTGATTTTCTTTTAAGCATTTCTGTCTATTTAGAGATTTTTGAATCAGCCCCCACCCCCTCCAGGGAACTGGAAGTACTAATCTGAAGAGAAAAGTAAAATGGAGGTTTTGGGTTTTTTTTTTTTTTAATTTATTAGAACCAGTTTTGGAATTATAGCTTCAAGTAAGATGGTTGTTTGCTGCCGTTGAGTCAAGAAGACAGATTAAATCACAGGGTCCCAGATTAAACCCCAAGTGATACTGAAATCAGATAGATGTGGGCCGGTATTAGAACCTGGGTATTGTATTGTATTACAGCTTTACAAAGTGTTACTCCTGGAGAAAGCAGGGCTCCCTGACCTTAGTGTGATCACGTCTGCCGTTCATGAAAGTTTTGCTTAGACCCTAGGCTATGAATGTGATCAGAGCCTAAAAAAACAAACAACAAACAAAAAAACTTAACTTCAGATTTTAGGTGGGTATCCCTTGGAGCTGGAGAGGTAGCTCAGTGGGGAAGCGAGAGTGCTGCTCTTCTAGGGGACCCCAATTCAGTTCCCAGCACCTTCAGTGGACAATTAATAACTGCCTGTAACTCCAGCTCCATTGTGGTCTGACCCTTCTGGCCTCTGTAGAGAGCTGCTTTCACATGCACAAACCCAAGCTTAAGGCCAGGTGTCTGCACACACACAGCTGCACATAGTTAAGATAAAATGAGGGCGGGTAGGGAAAATAAACCTGAAAACATACATTCTTACTATGTATAACTATCATTTTCGATTGCTACCGTTGGAAATTCCTGAGACTATCTGAAATAAGGGAGTGTTTCTCTCTTATAGGCAATAGTGTGGGATGAATACCTAACAGGACCATTTGGACTGATTGCACAGTATTCACTGCTAAAGGTAATCTGCTGTATGGGATTTGTTCAAGAATTAATAATCAACTGAACTTGGTAATGGAATTTTTACATATCTTCCTGAATAATCACTTGCAAAGTTATGTGATCTGTACAAACCCTGATATTAATGCGTGATTAACATTCTGCTAAGGGTGCTGATGAATGGTAATATAATTGTCTGGCATGCACAAGGCCCTGGGGTTGATGTCTGGCATCACACAGAAAACAAAGCAAACAAAAACTATTTTACACACAAGCACTGTCTTGTGGACCATGATCCTGTGCCTTTGACAGTTTGCTTAGTCAGGAAAGTTTGCAGGTGGATGCAGACTTTATCTTGATGGCTTTATCTTGAAGCTTGGTCCTTTATGTGTTTGGTTGGGACTATGAATTATTTGTAAATCCAAAGAGTTCAGGGTTTTTACTAGTTTTTTTTGTGTCTGCTTCCCTAGGAACATGAAGTGGAAAAGATGTTCACACTTAAAGAAGGCCGTTTGCCAGCAGCTGATGTCAAGAATATAATTTTTTTGGTCAGACCCAGGCTAGAATTGATGGATATAATTGCTGATAATGTACTCAGGTACGTCAGAGCTTTGTGTTTTAAAAGGAGTTGGGCTTTGAAAGTTTTTTTTCCTACATGCATTTATTTATTTACTTACTTACTTACCTGCTTATTTATTTATTTATTTTGAGGGGACGGTGTTGCCATGGTGCCTGTCAGAGGACAGCTGGTGGGCGTGGGTTCTCTCCTCTCATGGAGGTCTCAGAAATTGGACTCGGTCATTAGGCTTGGCATAGGCGATTTCCCCTGCTGAATTTTCCCTGCCTGGAAGTTGTTTTTATAATGGCTTAATGCTCTGATTCTCTGTCTTGTTACACCCCCTTGTCAGTGTTGGAAAGCCATCTTTTGGAACAGTGGAACCAGACATGGGAGAATCGGGTAGGAGACTCGTTGGAGCGCTCTGAATAGCTTGAGGGAATTAACTTCTCTCTCAGTATAGCTAAAAGTTCAAGCCTGTGTCAACAGAGAGAACCTTGCCTTAAAAAACACAGCAGAAAAACCTCAAATGATCATTTTTTTTTCCAAAATGCCAGATGTAGTGTGCTTAAATTTCATAAGCAAATAAGTAAGAACCAATTAAAGTTTAATGTGGAATCCATTTTATAGAGGAAGCTCTCAGCACAGCCTGCACTCTATAGCCACTGAAAGTCTTGACTGCACATCCTATTTTTGGAAGTCTGCAAACAAGGAGAATAGAGAATGGGAATTGGGAGTTAGTTCTCATTTTAATAGAAGACTGTTGGGTAAAACTGGTTTAGTTAAAGAAGCATCTGTTTTCAACAAAGCAGATGTCCTGTTGTAAGATCTGTTTTTGGTTCTTTCTGTCTGTATCTCTCTGTCTGTGTCTCTGTCTGTCTGTGTGCATGCATGTGTGCGTGTGTTTGTGTATGTATCTAAGCCAGAAGAGGGTGTCAGATCTCCTGGAGCTGGATTACAGGCAGTTGTGAGCCGTGTGATGTGGACGCTGGAACCAAAGTTTACTTAATAATTTGGGTATGAGAGTCTATGTTTTGCTTTAGAGATTTATGATTTTTTTGTTTTATGTGTAGATCATTTGACTGCTTATATATATGTACACTTTGTACATGCCTGATGGATGTGGAGGCTAGAAGAGGGCGCTGGACACCCTGGAACTGGAACTATAGACAGTTATGAGCTGCCATGTGCTGGGAACCGAACTGCTGTTCTCTGGAAGAGCAGCAAGTGTTCTTAACCACTGAGCCATTCCTCTAGTCCCTTGATAGTCTGTCTTTGTGTGTCTACTTAAGCAGTGTTTGTTTAGCACCTGCCAGGCAGTGGGAATGAAATAAGAAAAGTACCTTGTAACCCTAAGGAGCTAATAACGGCTACTTCCTTTGCAGTGAAGACAGACGTGGCCCCACCAGGGATTTCCATATTTTGTTTGTGCCACGCCGGAGTTTGCTGTGTGAGCAGCGGTTGAAGGACCTGGGTGTTTTGGGATCTTTTATTTATCAAGAGGAATACAGTTTAGATCTCATTCCATTTGATGGAGACCTCTTATCCATGGAATCAGAGGGTGCGTTCAAAGTAAGTTTGACTTTTTTTTTTTTTTTTTTTTTTGACGTTTCCTTAACGTCAAAGTTTTATTTATTTATTTATTTTTAAAAGACAGGATCTCATTGTGGGGCTCTCGCTAGCCTGGAACTCAAGATATAAACCAGGCTGGCCTGGAACTCAGAAATTCACCTACCTCTGCCTCCCGAGTATTGGGATTAGAGCCGAGCACCACCATGACTGGCCCTCAGGCTTTCATTTTTGTTAGGAGTGTCACGCTACTGCTCGCATTTTCGTCTGTGGTCGCTGGGAAGGTGAGGCCCACCTCACACGTTTACTAATAGTGGATATGTTCTCTTTGGAAAATTGCCTGCTCATTTTTTCTGCCCATTTCCTCTCTCTCTCTCTGTCTTTGATATGGCGTGTGTGTGTGTGTGTGTGTGTGTGTGTGTGTGTAAAAGAGGATATACTGAACTTTCATTCTCCGCCTTATTCCCTTGAGACAGGGTCTCTCCCTGAACCAAAAGTGAAACTAGGGACCAGCAGGTTTAGATTTTGGTGGGCTTTTCCATTCACCCATTCTAGCTCCCAAATAAATGACGCAGAGACCTGTTAGATTTATTGATAAGCTTTTGGCTGGGCAAATTTAACTGCTATAACTATATAGAGGACTATCTATAACTGCTAGTCCTCTAAGCTAGTCTGGCTGCTTCTCAGCCACATGCTCCAAGTTACTTGCCATATTGGTCCTATCTGGGCTGTTTCTCTCCATCAGGCCAGTTCCTCTTAGCAACGTCCTTTTTCTCCCTTCCTTCCTTCCTTCCTTTCCTCACCTCATGGTCCCCACTGAGATCCCAAGCCCACCCACAGAAGCTGCACTTACTTCTCTTCTGCTACTTGGTATCCAGCTTTTTTATTAACCAATCAGAGATAATGAGAGAGCAAAGTTTATACAACATTGGTCAGAGTGATAATGAACTGCAGATTGCAGCCAGATCTTGGAGCTCAGAATTCAGAATTTGTATACATAGAGCACTAGACCAACCCTCCGCATGTGTGACTGTGTGTGTGCGCGTGCCTGTGAAGTGTGTATATGTATGTGTGTATGCCTGTGTGTTCATGGTATGTGTATGCGTCATGTATGTATGCGTGGTGTGTGCGTGTGTGCATGTGCGTGCGTGCATGCAGATTTGTGCCCAGGTCTGTAGGCTTACACAGCAAGAGCTCTCAACCACTGAACTGCTCAGACTGCTCCTTCCACCCTCACGCCCACCTTTTGAAGGCCTGGCCTTGCTCTGATCGCCTCACTTGCCTTTCTACACCTTAGCCTCCTTTGTGCTCAGATTACGGGCACGAATTCCTATTGTTCTTTTTGTTTGTTTTTAATATCTTGTTTAGTGTTCATTCACAGATACAGTGCAAATCTATTTTGCTATTGTAGGACAAGGTCTCGCAGACCAGGCCAGCCTCAAGCTCTGATCTTCCTGCTTCCACTTCCCAAGTATGGGGATTGCAGATGTGTATTGCCACAGCTGGCTGGCTCCCTTTTTTTCTTCTTCAGGACTTTTTTTTTTTTTTTTATTTGATACTTGAGCTTTATTGTCACCCACATGCTGTAAAATTCTCCTTTATTTTGTTTTATTTTTAAGGATTTTTTCTTTTCTTTGATTATTTTTTGTTGTTGTTATTTTATATGTTATGGGTGTTTCATCTACATGTATATACATATATACATATATGTACCACTTGTGTTTCTGGTGTCCACAGAGGCCAGAAGAGGGGGTCAAAGTTATAAATGATTGTGAGCTATTCTGTGGACACTGGGAATTGAACCCAGGTCATCTGGAAAAGCAGCCAGTACTCTTAATCACCGAGAAGTCTCTCCAGCTCCAAATTCACCCCTTTAAAGCCTTTTAAACCCCTCAACTCCAGCATTTGGGAAGCTGTGATAGATTCTTGAAAGGTTGAGGCCAGCTTGACCACCACAGGGAGGCTTCAAAACAAGTGAACAAACAAATATCAAACAAGACACAATTAAAACAGTAATCTGAAAGTGCTGTAATGCTGAGTGGCAGTACAGGCCTTTGACCCCAACACTCATGAGGTGGAGGGTGGATCTTCTTGCCTGGTCTGTATTGGGAATTCCAGGAGAGCCAGGAGTACGTAGTGAGGCCGTCTCAACCCTGCCCTACCGGTCCTGCCCCAATTTTGTAAACATAAGTCATTTACATAGTTTTGAGTTAGGAAGTACAGAGTGATGATGAAGCCACTCCCCCAGGTCTCAGACATCTTTGCAGAAGCCAAGCAGATCTCCCCTCTCTGTTTCTTTCTTTCTTTCTTTTTTTTTTTTTTTGTGTGTGTGTGTGTGTGTGTGTGTGTGTTTTAAGAATGTTTTAATTTCTTTTCCAGACAGGCTTTCTGCAGGCCTCACTCAACAGCACATACAATATTCTTTCTGTGTGTCCTCCGACTTTAGAACTGAGAGGAGTGCCAAAAGTTAACGCCAACCCCAGCTCTGAACTGTACTTATCTGTGAGCCTTATTGTGTAATAGGTGTCTAAACGTGAGCTCAGGCTCACCCCATAGGATGTTCAGTGGGAGCACACAGTGTTAGTGCCTTCATTTTAATAACTCAAACCCAGTGATTCTAAAGTCGGCCAACCTAGTAAAAATGACGAGAGCTTCTGTTGTGTGGGTGAGCAAGTTTGGGGCCCAAATTTTGAGCTTTTAAATATTAATGTGTAGTACTAGCATTCATCCTAAAATGTCCTTGTAGCTTGAAAAGCCACAGGGGTTCCCGGTGGAAGGAGTGTGCTGTTGACACATAGGACTTCCTCACTGACTACTGTGGTAGGCGAGGGCTCCAGTTGATCTGGTGTTCTGTTCCCAGTGAGTGGCCAGTATTATCACCATTCAAAGTTAAATCTGTTGTTGCTGAGGGTGTGGCTCGGAAATGGAACGATGTGCTTGAAGCCCTGGGTTTGATTTCCAGAACTACAAAAACAGGGGGAAAAAAATGTCATGTTAGCTTTGCTGGCAAACTCCTTAAATCCCAGCACTGGTGAGGCATACACAGGCAAATCTCTGAGTTTAAGGTCAGCCTGGGCTACATAGTGGGTTCAGGACAGCTAGAGCTGCACACAAAAACTTTGTCTTGAAAAAAAAAACAAAAAACAAACCAAACAAACAAACAAATGTCTCTCATTAGCTTTGAAATCTTTTTAAAAGGGGAGAGCCTTTGTAGTAAAACAGCTTTGGAAGATGAATGAAACATGGACTGCCATGTTCTGGCATTTGGAACTGTTTCAGAACAGCATTTCCTTGTCCCGACTGTTGTGCTGGGGAAGGTTAAGCACACCAGTGCTGGAGTCCGGACAAGGCTCTCGGTGGGAAGCACGAGCCCCTGAGAAGCATCGGTTACGGCAGCCCCTCTGCTGGTCAGAACTCCACCTCCCTCGGCCCCTGGGCTCTTACTGCCTCTTGCTCCTGGCTTTGAATACTGAAGAGACCCCAAGGTAGTAGCAGTAGGGGCCTTGGGACAAAAGGTACCATTTGTTGTTGTTTTGAGACAAGGTGTCACTGTGTATCCTTGGCTGGCTTGAAATGCTGTGTAGACGAGGCTGGCCTTGCACTCACAAAGATCTACTTGCCTTTTCTCCTGAGTTCTGGGATTAAAAATGAGTGCCACCAGACTGGTCTGTGAGGAAAACCATTTTTACGTTTTCCATTTCATGTTTTTCATTTTTATCTTTTGCCTGTCTCGAATGGGGTCTCATGTAGCACAGGATGTCCAAGGACTATCTCCCTGTTCCACCTTCTGTACCACCACCCAGCCACCATTTGACTTGTGGTGATTGTAGAACAGTTTAAAGTAGACAATGAAAGTCCACAATAACAGGTCTCTGTCTCCACAGGAGTGCTACCTAGAAGGCGACCAGACAAGCCTGTTCCATGCAGCCAAGGGGCTGATGACCCTGCAGGCACTGTACGGTACCATCCCCCAGATCTTTGGGAAAGGAGAGTGTGCACGGGTGAGAACCCTCTGTTTTCTAAATAGGGGGCAAGGAGGGAAACTTGAGAGACAGATCCCCGTCACTCGCATATTCTGTGTGGAGCACTCTGTCCCCTCCTGAAGTTGACACACTGCTCAGCAGTCATTGCTCACAGGGTTTTGTGAACACTGCCACTGGGAGACATTCCCATCTACCACGCTGTGGTTCTCTCCCTTCCTGGGGGCTGGTGGCCACCAGCCCACGAAGCAGGAGGAACCAAAGGCGAGGCTCAGAGCCCATCCTAAAAATAACGAAGTCTGAAATAAAATAAGAAAGATGTGACCAGAGGCTCATGTGTTTCTCTCTGAACCAGCAGATCAGCGCTGGTTACTTCGTCATCTCCAGAGACTGTAACTGCCTCGTGTAGCAGGCACCGGCTGTGTCTGACACCGTGTCTGACTGGGCCCAGTGGCCACTGTTGTCGCTGGGTCGGGTGGTTACCGAGGGTGCTTTGTGACTGCTGCTTATTTCATTATCAGTCTGGCCTTGGCAGCTTTTCTCTCTTTAAACCCCTGGCTATTGTTTTGTTTGTAGCAGAATCTTAAACTCTGCTAGCTCCCAGGCGGCTTCCCTTGATCCCTTGTCTTGTTTCCAGCAAGTGGCCAATATGATGGTCAGGATGAAGAGGGAGTTTACAGGAAGCCAAAACTCAGTGTTCCCTGTGTTTGATAACCTGCTGCTTCTTGACCGCAACGTGGATCTGCTAACGCCGCTTGCCACCCAACTCACATATGAGGGGCTCATCGACGAGATTTACGGCATTCAGAACAGTAAGTGGGATGGCGTCTGCCTTCGCTGGTGGCTGATGGGACAGCTGCATCCACGGTGTGAGGCTGTTGCTCTATGGGTAGTTCTCAAAGCAGTTTGAATGTAAAGGTTCAAGGGTACTATTTCTCTTCTTTTCCTTCCCCCTACCCTCTGGCACCTGTGTTTTGACACAGAGTGTTTGTAGTGCAAGTTAAATGGGATTTACCATGTAGCCCAGGCTGGCCCTGTGGCTCCCTGGTGTTATGGTTACACTAAGGTGTGAATTATAACACCTATGTAAAGATCCAATTTCTTTTTTCTTTTTTTTCTTTTTGTTTTTTCGAGACAGGGTTTCTGTGTGTGGCTCTGGCTGTCCTGGGGTTCACTCTGTAGACCAGGCTAGCCTCAAACTTAGAGATTCACCTGCCTTTGCTTCCTAAGTGCTGACATTAAAGGTGTGTGCTATTACTGCCCAGCTGAAAATCCAATACCTAATGATGGTTTGAAAGTAAAGACTAATACGATAAAAAAAAAAAAATTTTTTTTTGGAAGCAAGTTGGAAGCATAGAGAGCTATTAATTCTTGCCCTGAAAATAATCCCAAAAATATCCCTTAAAGATCATCATTCCAGAAAAGATGGGAAAGCTTTATGTGAAAAATTGTTTTGCTGTTTATTTTCTAAGCAGTCCTAAGTAGCGCAAGTGGTTGAGAACATTATACAATATTGTGGAGCCTGAGATGTAGAGCCAGCTTATTCCCGTTCTGTACTGTGCTCGTACGTGTGTGTATGTCGTTGAGGCTCAGTAAATAAATTACCACATCAGGACACATAGGAGAGGGGAGTGGTTTAAGGGAGAGTGAGGCCTCTAACGGGTGCTGAACTCATTCCTACTCTTTATCATTTGTTTATCATTTATTTACTTATTTGTACATTTATTTTGAGAATGAGTCTCACACTGTGGCCCAGGCTGGCCTGGAACTCATAGAGATCTCCCTGCCTCTGTCTCCCAAAAGCTGAGATTATATAATAAATATGTACCACCATATTTATCATCTTTAAAAAATATCCCTAACATGTTCTTTGATAATTTCGTACGTGTAGGTAACATGTTGATCACACTTGCCTTAGTTAAGGTTTTTTTCTACATTTATTTATTTATTGTGCGCGCGCGCGCATACACACACACACACACACACACACACACATGCATAGGTACCTATTAAGCAAGTGTGGAGGTCAGAAGACAGCTTTCAGGAGTTGGTTCTCCCCTTTTGCCGCGTGGGCTCTGGGCATTGACCCAGGTCATTAGGCTTGGTGGCAAGTACCTTTACCCACTGAGCCTTCTCACTGACCCCTCATTGCTATATTTTTGAGACAAAGTCTTGATCTCTTGCCCAGACTGGCCCTAAGCTCTGGTCTTCCTGGTTCAGCTCCTGAGCCCTGAAAGTGTAGACTGTAGACAGTCACCCCCATCCGCAGACCAGTGTTTGGTGAGAAGGTTTCTGCCTGCTTGTCTTCTGAGTCTAAGGCTAGACACCTGAGCACACTGCCGATTCAAGCCGGGATTGACGCACATGAGCCGTGACTAGCCACGTGTAGTACCACAGCCCCCTGTGGCTGGTGGAGAATAGGAGAGCTTCTGAGTTTGGAAGGAAGAGTGACGTTTAGATGGAGGTTTAGGAGAGGAGAAACAGTGTGGTAGGTGCAGGAGTTGGGGGCAGCCACCCTGTCTTGAGTTGATGTACACAGATGACGAACTCCTCAGCGAGTGCTCAGGTCGGGGTCACTAGGTGGAAATCTTGGAAGACCAGAGTTTGGGCTTAATGAGTGATTGGGCCAGAGGTCACAGCATGTTTTCTTCATTCGGTCTTGGCCAACATGATATTTAATTCGCACATTTAAAATGTGAAGAATTATTAATAGTCTTGATTTATGCCACATCTTAAAAAAACAAAACATCTGGCACTGCCTAGACCTCATCCCCACATGTGACCAGTGTCCAGGGAAGACGGCCCCTTTAGACAAGATCTGTCCTGCTGCTTACCATGGATGGACAGACACACACACACACAGGCCAGCTCTCTGCCAGGGCCTGGCCTCTTGACATCGTGGAGCTGCGGATAGTGAAGGGTGTGAAACCCACAGAGACTGGGAGGCGGATGTGGGGCTGCTGATTTCTTCTGGGGTGAGAAAGTCTAGAACTGACTGCTGTAGCCTTAAAGCCAGGCAGGAAATGCCTGTGAATTATTAACTGTAAAATGGCCAAACTGGCAAATTTTGTGCTCTGTGCTTTTATCATGAGAACAAGCATGAGGTGAGAGAGCAGGGTGGTGGGCAGCTGAGGACAGGGATGAAGAAGCAGCTCCACAAAAGGTAGGCGGTGCTGGGTCCTTAAGGATGCGAGCGGATGTCTTGTTTCTGTTTCTGTTTTTGTTACTTGTTTTAAAAAATGGTATCTAAGCTCATTCTTAATTGGAAGGAGAGTTCATTCTAAGATGCAGGGTAACCGGTGGGAATCAGAGTGCAGTGAGGGCCTTGGCAGAGTGCACCCAGAAGGTGGCTGCAGGAGAGTCTGGAGTTTGGGATGGGGAAGGGTCTGGCCTGTGAGCGGGCCCCAGGATGGCTGTGCAGGAGGTGAGGAGGGGAGAGGTGGGTAGGGACTATCCAAGAAGAGAAAGAATATGTGTGAACTCACAGCCTCCTCGTGGTATCTTTTTTAGAACTCAAATGCAGATTAAGGAGACTCTGGGAAAATAGAGCAAAGAAAACATAGCCCTTGCCTGTCCTTGTGACCTGACTTGTCCCTCCTTTAGCCCAGACCACAGCATAGCATTCCATTCTTCTTGGAAGTTTCTTTGCAGATTGTTTTTTGGAGTAAACAGGGAATCAAATTGTACAAATTGTCATAAATTTCACAGGTGAGAGACAGAAGATGTTATCTTTGGTTCTTTCCATCCACCATGAGTCACAGGGCTTGAACTCAGGTCATCCACTGAGCCATCTTATGGCCGTAAACTTCACTTTTGATTGGTATAATGATGACTGCTCTCTTAGCACATGTGGGCTGTAATATTAATTTCTTCCATGTGCTGCATTTGCAAGTCATTCGCCTAGCATAGGGCATTTGTGTCACTTTCCTTTCTATGATCATAAGAGCGCCTTTGGCTGTTCCCCTTCATTGCCAGTCAGGCTACCGTCTGTTCTCTGTAAACACTGGGTGCCAGTTATAGAGGGGCTTTCTTCATACCCCCCCCCAATAATGGCATGGAGACCTTTTCTTAAATGAAATCTGGGTTTTAGCTTAGACTTGTTCCCAAGTAGCTCTTATGACTTAAGTTAACCTGCTTATACTAATTTACATTCTGCCATGTGCTTCATGACATTTCGTCAGTCCTGGCACGTGCTTCTTCCTCTGGGTCTGGCTGGTGACTTCTCCTGCCTCAGATTCCTTCCCAGAGCTCCTGTCTCTGCCAGGAGTCCTGCCTTCCTCCTGCCTTTTCTTTTGGCTATTTAGTTCTTTATCAAATCAACCAGAAAGTGAGGGAAGTGTATGTTTATAAAATATGATGTTGAGGTGTTGAGCAATGAGAACAACAAGACCAAATCCAGACCCTGCTCAGCTACCCGAGGGTTCAGAATTAACAATTGAATGTACAGAGGCAACCTTAACACCGTGTGCAAAAGATGACCCTAGCGGTTCCCAGATCCCAGGATGCAGGGGTTTTGGTTTTTTGTTTGCTTTGTTTTTGTTTTTTTCTGAGACAGAGTTTCTCTGTGGAGCCTTGGCTGTCCTGGACTCGCTTTGTAGACCAGGCTGGCCTCAGACTCACAGAGATCCTCCTGCTTCTGCCTCCCCAAGTGCTGGGATTAAAGACATGCATCACCTGGCCATGATGCAGGGTTTTAAGGGCCAAGTGGTATTAGTATCGTGCATCAGGCTAGATGGCTCAGCTCATAAAGTCACCAGCTGCCAAGCCTGACGACCTGAGTTTGATCCCTGGGACCCAGATGGTGGAAGGAGAGAACTGACTCCTACAAGTTGTGCATACAATAACTGAAAAAGAAAAATTTAAAGAATGTGTTAACATTATAAGATGCTTCATACATGTTCCATTATTTTCAAAATTTCTGTCATAGAAGCCCATCAGTGACTCTTGAGGACATCTCAAGGGTGGGAGTGACTGAGTTGCTTTGTAGGAACAGAGGTGGGAGACTCTGCCCGCGCCTTCTCTGTAAAGGAACTGGAGAGATGCAGAACCTGGAGTTCATTCTAGACCAGGGTGGAGGCCAGAGAGTAAATATTTTGGGTTTCTGCAGGTTAGAGGTAGCTGGGATCTGCAAAGCTCTGCCATGAACAGTAGGTTAAACTGTCTTCCGAAATAAGAGGTGTGTGTGTTGGAGGCCCTAAGTTCAATCTCTCTAACCAAAAATCAGAAACGAAACAAAGTGAGTGAATTTGGTCGTGAGGGTATAGTTTCTGACCTGTCCTCCAGTGTGTGAGTGTGTGTGTGTGTGTGTGTGTGTGTGTGTGTGTGTGTACAGAACTAAAACAGAAGTTGCATTTTAAAAAGCCCCCATGTTGGGCCATGAGAGATGGCTTGCTGATTATAAAAGCACTGGCTGCCTTACAGGACCCAGGTTTGGTTCCCAGCACCTACATGGTGACCCACAGACTGTCCATAACTCCAGTCCCAGGGGATCTGGCATCTCTTCTGGTCTCCTTGGATACACATGCACACAACACAGACAGAGACAGAACACCCACACCCATAAATTAATTAACCTTAAAATCCCCGCCACCTTTCGTTACTTCTGGGAATGTTCTGGAGTTTTCTGTCTTGTTTGTTGCTGTTTTTGTGGGTGTGTGGTACAGGCTGGCCTCAGACTCACAGCAGTCCTTCTGCTTCTGCCTCTGGAGTGCTAGGATTCATTGGGGCAGCTCCATGCTGGTGAGATTTTGTTTTAGAACCACAGTGGCAATTAGAGCTGTGGGGTAGATGTTGAAAAGCCACTATGCCTGGACATGGGCCATGGAGAGTGAAAACACAGAGCTGAGTGCCCTTGTCTTCTAACACTCTTCAAATTCAAGATTCACAGCTTGGTTTTGGCTGGCAACAATAAACCCTCCATTGTTCTGCAGTGAGTTTAAGAGGCATTTTGCACCCAGGCATTTGGTCTCTGGTCTTGCAGTAACTGCTCAAGTGTGTGTTATGTCCAACTTCAGGTTATGTCAAGTTACCTCCAGAGAAATTTGCACCCAAGAAGCAGGGCGGTGGCGGGAAGGAACTTCCCACAGAGGCGAAGAAGCTTCAGCTGAACTCCGCAGAGGAGCTCTATGCCGAGATCCGAGACAAGAACTTCAATGCTGTGGGCTCAGTGCTCAGCAAGAAGGCGAAGATCATCTCTGCGGCCTTTGAGGTGAGGCAAGCCTTGGCTCCTGTCCTGTCCCTGGGAATACTGAGGGAACAGCCCTCCTGGCCCCCTGTGGGAGATTTTGCAGCTTGGACTTGTATTTGCCTGAGATGTTTAGCCTAAATCAGGAATAAACGAAGCATAACGAACTTTATTTGAAAATAATTCCTTGATGTGCTCATAATTTTACCAACTATTAAAGCCAAAAGCAAATTTGCATGCTAGGGAGGTGGCCGTGCTTGCTGACTTTCATGGAAAGAATTGAGCCTTGGCTGAGGATTTGATTCTTGGGACATTGGGCATCTTCAGTGTGCTTTGTTTTGCTTTGTTTTCAGAGTGGATTGTTGCTTTGATTTTATAATCGTGAGTACTGAGACTGCCCCTTCCTATATAATATAGAGTACAGAGTGGCAGTGGTGTGTTCAGGACCATGTCAGAAATAACTGAAGTGGGCGTGATTGCATACTTTAATCCCAGTACTTGAGACTCAGAGGCAGGTGGATCTCTGGCCAGCCAGGGCTACAAGTGAGACCCGTCTCAAAAAATGTGGTGGGATAGAGGAATGAAGAAAAATGCTTGAAAATCAAAGGTTTTCGTCACAATGTGTGTGTGTGTGTGTGTGTGTGTATGAGTGAGTGTGTGTGAGTGTGAATGAATGTGTGTGTGTGTGTGTGTGTGAGTGTGTGAGTGTGAGTGAATGTGAGTGTGTGGTGTGCATATGCACATGGAAGCCTTACTTTAGGTGATATTTCTCAAGAGGTATTCACCTTGGGTTTGGCGTTTTTTTGGGGGGGGTGTTTTTGTTTTGTTTGGAGACAGGGTTTCTCTGTGTAGCCTGGCTGTCCTGGATGCAGACCTGGCTGGCCTCAAACTCACAAAGATCACCTGCCTCTGCCTCCCGAGCGCTGGGATTACAGGCCTGCGCCACCACTGCTGGGCTCTTCACCTTGGTTGTTGTTTGTTTTGTTTTTTGAGACTCGGTCTCTTGCCCCTCAGCCTCTGCCGCTGGGCAGCAAGCTCCAGGGATCCTCCATCTCTCCTCCTCCAGTACCAAGATCACAAATGCATGGCGCTACACCTGGCTTCTAAACTTTTTTCTTTAGATTTATTTATTTTTACGTAGGTGACTGTCTGATCTGCATGTTTGTTTGTACAGCACATCAGAAGAGGGGGTTGGATTGCCCGGGACTACACTATAGACGGCTGTGAGCCATCGTGTGCGTGCTGGTAACTGAACCTCTATAAGGTCCAGCAATGTTCTCAATGGCCGAGCCATTTCCCACCCGGGACCTTCTGCTCTTCAGTAGGTTCTGAGGGTCAAGCTCCTGTCCTGATACTTCCTTGGCAACAGCTGTCTTCTAAGCCCCCAGTTGATGATTTAAAAATGAAAAGAAGAAAAAACTCAAACAGAAATTTTAATTTTATTTAGTTTTTGTCTGTTTAATTTATTTGGTGCTTTTGTGACAGGGTCTCATGTAGCCCAGGCAGCCTTGAACTTGCTTTGTAGCCAAGATGGAGCTTTTATGACCTTGAATTCCTGACTCTTCAGGGATTACAGGTCTGCAGCACAACACCTGGTTTGTCCAGTGCTGAACAAAGCCAGGGCTTTGTGTGTGCTGGCCACTACCACCTACATGACATTGTAGTTCTCTGAGAGCGTTTTCAAAGCCCTATGTTCCCTTTGCCCCCTCCTGCCCTCACTGTGTAGTCCTGGCTGGGCTGGAATTCCTGAGGGACAGTAATACGTTTTCTGAAATGAAACCATTATATTTCCACAAGAGCAGAAAACTTGCATGTACCGAAGACGCTGCAGTTCATAGTACGAAGCAGCATTGAGTCTGAGCCGCTGGATGTAGGCAGTGTTTGTTTGTGGCTTGCAAATGCTCCACGTGTGTTTTCAGGGCCAAGGCTTTAGTGAGCACTCCCAGAAATGTGTTTCAGTTAATTTTGGATAATGCATGTTCAGAAACTAATGTTTTGTGACCCCATGTTCATTTACACAACCCTTTACAGGCCGTGACCTACAGTGTCAGAGCCTGGCTGGGGCTGAAGTGACGGCCCAGCAGCTGACAGAGCTGCTCTCACAGAGGGCCGAGCTTAGTTCCCAGCACCCTCGTGGAGCGGCTCACCACCCCCTGTAACTCCACTTCCAGGGCCTGAGGCCCCCTTCCGGCCTTCTCTGGTACCTGAACTCACGTGGACATGCCCACACATAGACACACACACAAGAACACATGTTTAAATATAAAATAAAATTTTTCAGCTGGGCTATAGTACACCTGTCTCATTTCCAATACTGCAGGTTCAAGAGGATGCAGAGGTTTTCTTTTAATTAACTAACTTTTCTGGTACTAGGGGTTGTGCCCAGAGCCTTGGCTGTGTGCACAGTGGTCTTGTCTGAGCCACATCAGACACAGCTTTCTTGGTGTTTAGACTTTGTCTCAGGCCTGTGATAACAGCACTGTTGTAAATGTTCCTCTTTTTAGGGGGTGCAAGAGAGAGAGCATGAGTGTGGCTAGGTTTTCATAAACAAGTTCCCGTGATCTTCTGTTAAGTCCCTTCCTTCTCCCTTGAGAGGGCACCAGTGCTCTAGAGGTGGACATCCTCTGTGCTGAGCTGAGATCTGGCCAGCATGGCAGTGGCAGGGGAGCCCCACATGTGTGACAGACGATAATGAGATCAAAATCCCAGCCGCCCATGCCTCATTACCACCTTCCTGCCTCCTCCAGTGTTGAGCCAGTTTATTCTTGTTGAGCTGGTTTTGAAATGTGGCAATCTGTACAGTAAGAAAACGACTGTTTAGACTCCAGACAGAAATTTGAAAACTGCTTTTTTTATGTTTTTGTTGTTGTGTTTGTGGTTGTAGACGTTTTCGATGTGTATGTTAACCCCATGTTTCTGAAGACAGTTCTGGGTGACATTATTAAAATGTTCTCATCATTCCCAGCACTCAGGAGGCAGAAGCAGGCAGATCTCAGTGAGTTCCCAGGCCAGCCAGGGCTACACAGAGAAACCCTGTCTCAAACCACCTCCTCGCCAAGTTCTTATCAATAAGCATCATTCACTTTGTTCACAGGCTGGATTCACTTGCGGTTCAGTGCCAAATGGGAATTGTTTCAATTACACAGAAAATTTTTGTTGTTTGGTTTTGATTTTTGAAATGGTCTCCTGGCTGAGGATGACTTTGAACTTCTGGTCTTCCTGGCTTCCTAAGGTCTATAAGTCAGCTTTGGCATGCCTGGCTTAGACACTGTCTGCTGTTTACTTTCCCCTCTGCATGAAACCTAATTTTTTTATACCTTAGAGCTGTGTGTGTGTGTGTTATACCCCCAAGGTCCCATCAGGTTAGGTCAGTGTTGTACCACTGCACTGTAACCCCAGCTACATTAAAAAAAATATTTTATGTGTGCGTATGTGGTGTGTGTGCTGTGGGTGCAGAGGCGAGCAGCCAGCTTCCTGCTCGCTCATTCTCCCTCATTCCCCTGATATAGTGCTATCTCACTAAACCAGAGTCGAGGCTGGTGGCCAGCAAGCCCCATTGATTCTCCTGTCTCTGCCTTGTACAGGACACCCAGGCGTGGGCCTGAGGAGACAACTCAAGGGCATCTCTCTTCCCACCCTGTGGGTCCCGTGATGGAGCCGCACCATCTCACCATACCTACTCTTCTCCTGTCTGTGATTTTGGAGCTAGGTTTAGCTTGATTGGCGTTTCCCCCTTGATGATGATGTCGGTGAAACACTGTCTAAGATGTCCCCCTGCCTCACAGTGCTGCCGCCTGTTGTGTTCCAGGAACGCCACAATGCCAAGACAGTTGGGGAGATTAAGCAGTTCGTGGCCCAGCTGCCGCACATGCAGGCAGCCAGGGGATCTCTCGCCAACCACACCTCAATTGCAGAGTTAATCAAAGATGTCACCAGTAAGTGTCTTCTCTTGTGGTTCTGACCTTGGGAAGGTCAGCTGTGGTTTTGCTGATTATTTATTATTTTGCTGTTAGGGATCAAACAGGGCCGGTGTCTGTGTAGCAAGTGCCTGAGCATGGAGCCACCCCCGTCGGTTCCTTTCAGCATTATGCGTGTGTCACAGCAGTACTGTGTGTATGAGTGTTTTAGATAGGGTCTCATGTATCCCAGACTGGCCTTGGACTTCATATACAGACAGGTCTGGCATGAACTCCTGCTCCCTTGCCTGTACCTTCCTAGTGATGGGATGACAAGTGTGTGCCACTGTGTCCAATCGCCCAGGATGAAAGTGCGGCCTGGGGGTCAGGAGCATCTGCTCTTGCAGCAGGCCGCAGTCCAGCTCCCGCCAGCACACCGCATGCCTCCCAGCTGCCTACAGCGCCACTCCAGGGCATCCACGGGGGGGCAGCTGCGCTCACAGGCATGCTCCCACACACACACTCAGGTGCGCATAAGTTAGTCACGTCTGTACAACTGGGGCATCTGCGACTGACTTAACATGAACCTGGGGGTAACAGCAAAGTGCTTCTCCAGAAGATTGCCCGTCATTATGGGACAGTTCAACACAGTGACCCTATGGGACAGATGACCTAATTAAAGCTATATGATGTTCTGGGTTTATCGGGACTCTAGTTTTGGTCCACTTGAAAACTGGCAAAGCACTTGTAATCCTAGATAGCATTGGGGAGGCTGAGGCAGGAAGACCATAAGTTCAAGGACAGCTTGAGCAACATGGCTCTCAAGCAAGAGAGGGGCAGGGCTGGAAAAAAGCTCAGTCAGAGACTGCTTACCTGACATGGCAGCGTGTGCCTGCAGGCCCAGTGCTGGGCACTGAAGGCAGGAGGATCCCAAGTTCAAGGTCATTCTCAGTTTACACTGAGTTCAGGGCCAGCCTGGGCTACATTAAACCTTACCCCTAAAACAAGCTAAGCCAAGTGTGGTGACACATGCCATTAATCCCAGCAGTCAGGAGGCAGAGGCAGGGGGATCTCTGTGAGTTTGACACCAGCCTGAAATACATAGAGCATTCAGGCTAGCAAGGGCTACACAGAAGGGCCTGGTCTCAGCACCAAACAGCCAGCAAACAAAATAAACAAGAGACAGAAAGCAGGCATCAGTCTAGAGAGACCGCTCAGTGTTAGAGTGTGCGGGCCCAACACAGCTGCCTGAAACTCCAGCTCAAGGGGCTCTGAAGGCCTGTTCTGGCCTCCAGCATTCATACACATGTGTGTACACACACATGCTGATACACAGATGAACATGCACCTACACATTTTCACACATGCATACAGGCACATACATGCACACATAAACACTTGCACACACGCATGTACACTCACTTTCACAAGCACACTGCATGCACACTCATACTCATGCACACACCACACTCCCTCCCTCCTTTGAAGACGGTCATCAGTGATGGCTCATGCCTGTAAGCCCAACATTTGGGAGGCCAAAAGACAGGGATTGCTATGAATTCAAGGATAGCCTGGGCTAAGGGATCCTGTCTTAAAAATAAAATAAGATAGAAAATAACAGAAACTTGCAGCAGAATTGTCACAAAGAGCCTCATGCTACATGGTAAAGCTAAACACAAGTCCATTTGACTCGGTGTGTAGACTCTGAGTCGTGTGTATGCTGCCAAGGGAACCTTACTTCCCTGTGGAGAATTAGTCTTTTGTCTGCTGCTGACAGAGGGAGGAGTGAGTTGGCACGAGGCTGTGCTCTGGGGGAGTGAGTGCTCACTGACGCTAACCTGTGAGCTGGAAGCAAAGACCCCGAAGGAGCAGTGTGCAAGTGTGGCGCTCAGCGCTCTGGGGGCTCCTGATTGCTCCAAAGTCTCTACCTTTTTGCTTTTGTGTGCCTCATTTCCTAATCCTGCTTCCACACAGCACTCAAATCAACTGACACTGTTGAATTTCTAAGTCAAAAATTTGCTGATTCCATTTTAGCGTCTGAAGACTTCTTTGATAAGCTAACAGTGGAGCAGGAGTTCATGTCTGGGATAGACACTGATAAGGTATGTATGAACCTGTCTACACCACAGCTGAAGTTCATCGTCGGAAGATTAGAGCCAGATGCTTGGTCCATTGTGGTGTTGTCCATATTGTTATTGTTGAGACTCAAACTGCCATGTAGCCCTGGCTGGCCTAGAACTTGATATATAGACCAGGCTGGCCTTAAACTCAGAGATCCTCTTCTCTCTGCCTCCCAGTTGCTAAGACTGAAGGTGAGCACCACCCCACCTGGCCCTCAATCCATTGTTTTGGTTTCCATCTACGCTCTGTGGGCTCACATGTGTGCGCACTCACACACATCTATCTGTGTGTATTTGGAGTGGGGGTATAGGTTATTGATAGGAGAGTACCTGTCTGGCATGCCAAGAAATCTTGGGTTCAGAGCCAGTACTCTGTAGCCAGACTTGTAGCTTCTTTTATATTGGGTTCTTTTATCCACCTCCCTATACCACTCCTCTCTCTTAGAACTCCAGTCCTCCCAACACTAGGTAAGAGAGAAAGAAGATTAGAGAGGAAAGGGGGCATTATATCATTAGACTACTTCCTGTTGATTAGGGGTGTCGATTTCCTTGTGGCAAGTTTGGTCTTCATAGTCAGGGTAGCTCCGACCAGCAACAGCACAGGGAGCAGCAGCCACTGCCTCTCGTGGGGCTCTGGCATGTATATACCCTCTCAAAAGTCCCCAGAATTCCAGACAGAAACTATCTGCAGCTGGCAAAATTATGCCTCTGCCAGAGCATGAGACAAATCATAGTCAGCTGCTATAGACAGTCTGAAGCAGCCCCATATCCCACACCTGGGATTAAAACAAAAACATTCCCATAACATTTTTATATTTTTAAAGAAACCAAAACTCTCACTACAGTACTCCTCCCAGAACAAATAGCAACAACACACACACCAGCTGGGCGTGGTGGCACATGCTTGTAACCCTAGCACTTAGAGATAGAAGCATTTAAGGCCAGTTTTAGCTACATAGCAAGTTGGAGCCCAACCCAACAGCAGATGCTCTCTCAAAACAAAAACCCCAGGCCACTTTTTTGTTTTTGTTTATTTGTTAGGCAATTTCTTTAAGTGTATATTACTATTAAAAATAGTGTATTGGCTCCCCTCTCTTGCACTCTCTTTTGCCTCTCTTTCTCTCCTGTTTCTCCCCCTCCATGTCTTTCTCTCTGCCTTTCCCCCTCTCTCTTCACATCCACCCAATAAATATCTTTCAGATAAAAAATAGTGCAATTGTTCAATTTGCAAAGGTTTCTGTTTTTTAAAAGTATTTCTATCACTTTATGCTGGGTAAGTTAATAGTATTTTTTTAGGTAGGCCAAGTCAGATAAACTGCAGACATTTGGAAGCCACTGCCTGGTTGTCTGCGAGGTGGATGTGTCTGAGCAGGCCATTTGGTTGTCCAGCGATGCCCTCCCCGTCTTATGCTGGTGTGTTTGTGTGCTGGCCGTCAGGTTAGGGCATAGGGATGAGAGGCTGCACTTCGGGAGAGTGTTAGGAAGTGTGTAAATGAGCCGTTCTCCCACACATCACCTTTCTCTGCCTTGGGGAAATATAGTGACATCACATTATGTTAAGTCCCTGGACTCGTTAGTCTTTTTTTGCTTCATCTCTAGGTCAACAATTACATCGAGGACTGTATCGCCCAGAAGCATCCTCTCATCAAGGTGCTGAGACTGGTTTGCCTGCAGTCTGTGTGCAACAGTGGGCTCAAGCAGAAGGTTCTGGACCACTACAAACGGGAGATTCTCCAGGTAGGGAAGCAAAACATGTTTTATTTGCTGAGAAGGAAAGCATTACTAAATATAATGTTAAGTTATATTCAATAATATAATTCTCATGGCTGCTTTTTTAGTGTATTGTGAACACTATCTTGTTTTGTTTTTAAAACCTGTTGTTTGGCCAGGAGGTGCATGCCTTTAATATCAACACTCGGGAGGCAGAGGCAGGAGTATCTCTGAGTTTGAGGCCAGCCTGGTCTACAGAGCAAGTTCCAGGACAACCAAGGCTACACAAAAAAAACCCGTTTTGAAAAAAGAAAAAAAAAAAAAATCTGTAGCCTGGCAGCATGCCACACACAGGCACTTGGGGGACAGAGGCAGCTGGAGCCCTTCAAGTCCCAGGCCAGCCAGGGCTGTGCAGTCACCCTGGCTGGAAAGACTGTTCTCCCCTTTGAATGTCGCAGGCAGTGTTTGCTGTTACCAGTCACTGCTCAATGTACTGCTGGTTTTTGTGGATTTCGTTTTTCATATGTTTTGCATTACAAAGGACAGAAATTGTCATGTGACTCCAGTAGTCAGGCGTGAGCCTCCGCTCCAGCCTCAGTTGCCCCAGGCCGGCATTTGGTTTGATTTCCTCTGACTCCCATTGCTCTTTACACACAGGGTGTTTACGCCCAGACTTTAGAGTGAGTGTGTGCTTCAAGGTTAGCATGACTGGGTGCAGTCAGTTCTCACCAGCTGACCCTTGGGCCACTTAGTGAACGTTTCTGTCAAATGGATGTAATAATGGCTACCTCCCACAGTCTAAGGGCAGCTGACTTGATTGTAAGACACCTAAGAGAAGGGGTTCCACAGGGGTTGGCTAATACTTGTCTTTTAAAAAAATAAAATTCCATGTACAATATTTCATTGTTAACTATCTTTGTTCTTAAGTGTGTCTATTATCTTTTGTGAGCTAAGTATATACTCTATATAGATATGATTTATTTAATGCTCAGGTTGAGTTATAAACAGACTTTAAAGTAAAAATCTCAAATCATGCTTGAGTGAGTATGAGGCCCCTCTCCCCTGCCCTCCTCCACCTCCACACGCCATGCCTGACTTAACATCACCACGGATGCCTTCTCCTTCAGACCTACGGCTATCAGCACATACTGACTTTGAACAACCTGGAGAAGGCTGGTCTGCTGAAGGCCCAGACTGGGGGCAGAAATAATTACCCAACAATCCGGAAGACGCTACGCCTCTGGATGGATGATGTCAATGAACAAGTAAGATGCATCCCTGCACTTGATTCTGTTGGCTCACTGTGGCAGTGTGCACACCCTGATGAGCACATCTGCTCCACTTTCTAAGTGTCTTCACATTGGTTTAGTGCGTGTGTGCATGTGTATGGGTACAACTTGCAGGAGTTGGTGTTTTCCTTCTACCATGGCAGTTCTGGGGCTTGAACTCGGCCTGCTGGGCTTACCAGCAAGCGCCCTTACTCCTTTAGCCTTCTTTCCAGCCTCCCTTGCTTTCTCAAAGCCATCTCCCGCACTTCTGAAAAGCAGCGCTGCATGTGTTGATTCCGGGTCTCAGCAGCAGCAGAGTGCTGTCAGTGGGTAGCTTGAGATTAATACAGATGTGAACAGAGTGGACTAGCAAGAGTGTGGAGCCCTCACCAACTGTGTCGCTCTCAGGTCCAGGCCATGGACTGTCAACTGAGAAGTCACAGCAGCAGGGGCTCGAGGGAGTGGGGCACACCCCATCCAGGCGGGATGATGCACCTGTGTGTGCTTGCTGCTGCTCATAGATGCCTCCTCCACACTCACTAGTCACCTGATGTACGCAGTCCTGCCCAGAGGCCATTCTTCGGTTAACGTCCATCGCAGCAGCTGAAGCCTGCAGGACACATAATAGAAGTTATTAGCAAAAGTTGTCATGGGATCAGAGGGATCTGTGTGGCTGAGGCCTCGTGTCACAGACGAGATGGCAGGGCAAAACAAGCCACATCACACGCTGCTGTCCACTCTCCAGTTGTCCCTTGGTCCCTTCCGTTGCCCCAAACAGAAGTCATGGCACAGTGGCTACAGGCTTCTGGGCACAGGCCCCTGGGGAGAAGTGTGGGGACATCAAGAGGAGCGGTTCACAGAAACATCCGGTGTGTGTGGACCAGCCAGCTGTGTTCTGGGAAGGGAGCAATTCCTGCCGCCGCTAAGCCGATTCTCACAGAGGCAACCCTGTGGCCAGGTTACAGTCCTTCAGAAGGCCTCTGGACAGCTAGCAGCATTACTACCCTACTCTGTGCTCTGAGGCTGCAGAGGTTCTCCCGGCTTTACAGTCACCACTCCGTGTGATGCTGCTTAGTTGGTGTGTTCACAGATAATGTTAGTTCACACTGTTCTGGCCTTCTTCCCCTCACCCATGTACTGCCTCGCCGGGGCTCTGAAGAGCCTTCCTGGGCCCCACCCTCATTCTTTTAATCGCTACATAGTTTATTCATTGGTCCTGAAAGTTAAACCCAGGCCTTACACATGCTAAACATGTATCTAGTACTGAACTGTCCCCATTTCTTTATGTGTGTCTGCTGGGGGTTGGGGATGGGAGGTGGGGGGGGGGAGGTTTGACTCATTGGAGCGTAGGCTAGCCTCCAACTCCCTATGTAGTAAGTGACCTTGAACTCCTGACCCTCCAGTCTCAGTCTCCTAAGTGCACACCTGTAATCCCAGCATTCTGGAAGCTGAGGTAGGAGGTTCTTCAGTTTGACACTGTCCTGGGCTTATAGTGAGATCCTGTCTCATCAAATAAATGAAAAAAGTGAAGCCAGGCCTCAGAGAAGGCTCATTGGTTAAGAGCATTTGTTGCTCCTCTAGAGGACCCGAGTTCAGTTCCCAGCACCAACGTGTGGGCCAGTCACAAGCTCCTGTACCGCCAGCACCCGCTCAACTCTGCAGGCGCCTGTTCTCTCACATCCAAACGCAGAGAGATGCGTGCCGCACACATAGCAGAAGTAAGCTCAAAAAAAGAAAAATGTGGAGCCCTGTGGGCTAAGGATGAGAGTGTATCCAAGATGGGCCAGAGCTAGGCACAAGCGAGGGTTTTGAGTCTCTGTCTTCCAGTCTAACCTCAACCACCAAAAGAAGGCGGCTCTCAGTCCTGTCTGTTTCTTTAACTGTTGGCAGAGCCCCACAGACATATCCTACGTGTACAGCGGCTATGCACCTCTCAGTGTGCGGCTAGCTCAGCTCCTGGCCCGGCCCGGTTGGCGGAGCATCGAGGAGGTTCTCCGCATTCTCCCGGGGCCTCACTTTGAAGAACGGCAGCTGCTGCCCACTGGGCTGCAGAAGAAACGTAAGTTTCACTGGCTCTCCCGTCAGCTACTGCTCCTATGGGTTGTGCACTTGTAAAGTTCCTCAGAGTCGGAGTGGAGTCGGTTGCTAATGGACTTTGTAGCCCTGGAGCTGTGCTGTGCCCTGGAGAATGACAGCCCGCAGTTTCTGCACAGAGCCCCCAGGACTTGGGGTGTTCAGATCAAATTCCAGGACCTCGAATGAACCGACTGCACCAAGATGTACTTGACGTTTTTATACTTTCTGTTTTTAAGCTATGTTTGTGATGTGTGTGTGTGTGCGCGCGCCTGCATGAGTGCGCGCGCCCGCCCGCCTGCCCACACGCGCACATGTGCCTGGAGAGGTCAGGGCCGTCTGCTGGAGTTCCGGGTGGTTGTGGGCTGCCTGGTGTGGGTGCTGGGAAACTAAAATCGGCCCCTCTACAAGAACAATACACATTCTTAGCACTGAGTCACCTCTACAGCTCTTTAAATACTTTTAAGTGAAAAAAAAAAAAAAAGGTTTGAGAGGCATCAGTATTGCATGCTTTACATTCTGAAATGTTTACATTTTAGGCCAGCCAGGAGAAAACAGAGTCACGCTGATATTCTTCCTCGGAGGTGTCACCTTTGCTGAAATAGCCGCCCTGCGTTTCCTCTCTCAGCTGGAAGATGGCGGCACTGAGTATGTCATTGCAACCACTAAGCTAATGAACGGGAGCAGCTGGATAGAGGCCCTCATGGAAAAGCTTCCGTGAAGTGTCCACAGACGGGACAGGTTACCACAGAACGAGCTGCTTCTGGGAGCAAAAGGACATAAAGCCAAGACGCAGGAGGACAACAGCTACAGGCTGGTGTCTGCTGCTGCTTCCTCCTTCCTCCTGCTCCCTGTGCTCTTCATCTCAAAGAAAGGAGAGTTAGCTTGGGTAAAGAGACACTGAGCTGGCCATGGTGGCTCATGCCTATGCTCGCCACATTTAAGAGACAGAAGCAGAAGACTGCTGCAAGCTTGAGGACAGCCTGGGCTACACAGTGAGTCCTAAGCAAAAGCCCTTTCTTCCCATAATAAAGGAAATCCTGTTTTGGATTTTTAAGCTTAAAGTCTTCATTAGCAGCTTCTAGAAATAGTTAAGAATGTTGCAACGATAGCCCCAACAGCCACATGAATGTGCAGCCTTTAAAAAGCAGAGGCTGAGGGGCTAGATAGGAAAACAAGTGGGAAGTCTGACTTCTGACCCACAGTATTTTGTTCTGGAAGATGAGCTGTGCCCAAAATAGTGGTTTTGTGTTGAGGATAAGCCAGTGCTGTCGAGTGTTTGCCCTTTGCTGCAGATAAGAGCACATTCATGTCTCTACCGACGGGATCCCAAGGCAAGCTTTGTTTCCTTCTGAAAAACAGACGCTTGAAGGAGCATCTTGGCGTAACAGAGTCTCTGCTGTCTGACTCAGCTGGTAGGTTCTCTGCCCACAATGGACTCTGATGAAGAGTGAGCTGACCCCCAGGCAGCTTCTGCAGACTGACCGTTCGAAGGCAGGGCTGAGCGTGTTCACATTGTTAACGCCGAGACTTGCAGTGGAGATGCCGCTGTTGGGGCTGTTTCCTTTCATGTCCATGTGGGCCCAGCATCCAGCTGGTCCTATCGTGAGCAGACAGCTCTTCCCTTTCTTCAGTATCGGGCAGCTCTGCATGGTAGCTGCCTCATGCAGCTTCTAGCCCTGTAGCTGTATTCAGCTTCACACATGCCTCTTGCTTGAGGATAGTCAACTGATCAGCCCCTGGTCTGGTGACAGAAGCCGCTACAGTCAGTCTCGGTCCGCACGAACAGGTGCCCCAGCTGCAGGGACTGAGCCCCAGCCCAGAGCAGGCCTGTGGGTGTAGCCAGCAGCTTGTGTGTGTGTGTGCCTGCCTGCCGATCGCCTCAGCATTTGGAGGATTTACGAGCGCCAAGCAGGGACCAAGTTGATGGCTTTTCTGTCACAATCCAAGTCTCCAAAAAAGGTAGCCTGTCTCAGCATTGCCCGGGTCCCATCCTAGGTGTGGTTTCTGTGGTTAATAATTTTCCTTTCACTTTTTTCATGTAGAATTGGGAACAATCTACTTCATGTTGTAAGTGAAAGGCATTGTGTATTTAAAAAATAAAACAACTTAGGAATGAAGGGCGGCAAAGACAACATTTGTTTCTCCTGGAGTTAATTCAGCCTTGCAGGGTGGAGGGACGGGGCACTCCCAATGGGGACATCCTTGCATAGAAATGTTTTTCTCATTCTTGTTATTCCGGGGAGATTAGTTTTTACCTTTGAGCCCCAGCAGTGGCTCGTCTCAGCTGCCAGAGACAACCTCATCCGCAGTGCTTTCTACTCCTGGGATTTGGTGCAGGTCCGCTGAGGTCTCCTTGGCTGGGGTGTTTGTCCAGTGAGCAGATACTCAGTTGTTGCTGAGTCTATATTTGCTTGCTCAGAGCATAGCAAGGTCAGCGTCTAAAAATGTACCCAGCAGAAGACCCTTTTAAAAACCACACACCTGCTTCATTTGTATACAAATAGAAAGCAGTGGTAAGCGTTTGATGTAAGTTCTCTTAGTACAGAGCTGTCTTTGTCTCCTAAGAGTGTACTCTGAGAAAGGGTGTGGGAACGGAACACTTACTCTAAGAGGGGGTGGATTGCTTACACCTTGTGTGGACTTTGTTGAGTTTGTTTGATGACCACTTTGCTACACCAGCTGTCCTCATTAAAAACATCTACATAGATGCTATTTTCCTTGTTAATTTATACATTCTTCTGTTGCCTTAAATAAAAAACGAACAATGCACTATAACTGGATTGGTTGTAGGGCCAGAGGGAAGTGGTCCAGAGAGGGAAGTTAAAATGGAACATTTCTTGAGAACTAGGACGGCCTCCATGTGAAGTCTATTCCACTTCAGTTCTGCCTGCACTAGAAATGGGTGTGATTTGACCATGCCGTGCTGGTCTGCCTTGCTCCCAATTGTACATAAAAGCCTGGCTAGAAGCTGGACATGGTGGCACACCTTTGCTGTCACCATCAGCAGGCTAAGGCAGAAAGATTGAGAGTTCAAGGCCAGCTGGGCTGTAGAGTGGGGCCTTGTCCCCCACCCCCCAAAAAAAGGGGGAGAGGGATTTGTTTAACATATGGCAAAGTATTGTTTAGCATGCACACAGCCCTGGGCTTAATCCTCAGAACTACATGGAGAAAAAGAAAAGGACCCTGCCAGTTTGACCCTAGGAGGAAATGTTTGTGTTCTGCAGAATTGAATGCAAGCAAAAATACTTCTGTTGTTGAGATAAGATCTTCCCATGTAGCCCAACTGGCCTTGAATTCAGTCCTGCCTCAGGCTACCAAGGTGCTAGAATTTACAAACCCAGAATTTTTTTATCCTCTCATATATTACATCCTGATCAAAGTTTCTCCCTCCCGCCAGCCTTTCTCTCTCCCCTCTCCTCTTCCTGAGATGCCACCCCCACCTCCACCTCCCCTCAGAAAAGAGCAGGCCTTCCAGAGACCAAACATTGTAGCATAACAAGCTACAATAAGAGTCACATCAAGGCTGAACATGGCAACCCAGTAAGAGGAACAGGGTCCCACAAATAGGCAAAAGAGTCAGGGGAGCCCAGCTTCCAGTTAGGATTCCCACAAGAACAGCAAGCTACTCAGCCATAACATACATGCTGAGGGGCTAGGTCTGACCCCTACAGGCTCCCTGATCTCTCCAAGTCCCCATGGGTCCCAGTCAGTTGATTCTGTGGGCCACGTTTCTATGGTGTTTCCCTGACCCCTTCTGGTTCCTCTAGTCTTTCCTCCCTGTTCTCCGCAGGTTTCCCTGAGCTCCTCCTATTGTGTGGCCATGGACTCTGCATCTGCTTCCATCAGTTGTTGGATGGAGCCTCTCTGGTCTCTTTGATGACGATTTTGCTAGACTCCAGTCCCAGAACTCTCTGCAAGCAGGGCAAACTGTAGGTTGAAGGTTTTGTGGCTGGGTTGGTGTCCAGTCCTTCCATTTGACGTCTTGCCTGGTTAAGATGGCCAGTACGGGCTCCCTGTCTCCCATTGCTAGGGTTACTCTTATAGATTCCATGGAATTTCCATTGCACTAGCTTCCAACCTTACCCCTGAAGTGATCTCCCCTTCTTGTCGTTTTTCACAGTATTTTCTCCCTCCCTCTAACCTGATCCCTCCTGTTCCCAGCCCTGCCTGCTCCCAGTCTACCCGAGAAATCTTTTCTGTTTCTCCTTCCTGGGGAGATTCTTGAGTCCCCCCAGCCCCCTTAAACCCTCCTTGTAACTTAGCCTCTCTGGGTCTGTGCTTTGTAGCATGATTGTCTTTTTCCTTACAGCTATTATCCACTTAATGAGTACATACCATATTTGCCTTTCTGGAGCTGGGTTACCTCATTCAGTATGTTACTTCTCTAGTTCCATCCATTTGCCTGCAAATTCCATGACATCATTGTTTTTAACAGCTGAGTAAATTGTGTAAATGTTACATTTTCTTTATCTATTCTTTGGTTGAGGGACATCTAGGTTGTTTCCAGTTTCTGCCTATTATAAATAAAGCTGCTATGAACAGAGTTGAGAAAGTGTCCTTGTGGCAGGATGAAGTGTCCTTTGGGTGTATGCCCAGAAGTGATACAGCTGCCACTTGAGGTAGATTGATTTCCAATTTTTTAAAAAACTGCCATATTTGACTTCCAAAATGGCTGTACAGGTTTGCACTCCCACCAGCAGTGGAGGAGTGTTCCCTTGCTCCACATCGTTGCAAGCATGAGCTGTCACTTGTGTTTTTGATCTTAGGCATTCTGACAGGATCTCAAAGCTGTTTTGATTTGCATATCCCTGATGGCTAAGGATGTTGAACATTTCTCTAATGCCCATAATTTTATTATTATCATCATCATTTGGTTTTTCGAGACAGTGTTTCTCTGTGTAGCCCTGGCTGTCTTGAAACTCACTTTGTTGACCAGGCTGGCTTCAAACTTAAGAGATCCACTTGGCCTCCCAAGTGCTGGGATGAAAGGCGTGAGCCACCACCGTCCAGCGCCCAGAAAATTTTAAACAGCAAAGTGAAGTAAGTACCTGAAGCAAAGGAGAGGCTATGATAAAAGAGGGTAAAGCACAAGGATGTAGACATACGTGTTGTTCTAAGTTGTAAGTGGTACTTAGGAGCTGATATATTTAGTTATATGATAGAGGATATCTTGCCAGACAGTAGAAGCAATGGACAGTATGTAAAATTTCTCATTGTTTATAAATGGATTGATGTGAATTTTATGCCAGGTTGCAATTCTTTATTATAGTTCATGTAGTGTGTGTGTGTGTGTGTGTGTGTGTGTGTGTGTGTACACATTCACACTCACAGAAATCAGAGAAAAGCTTTCAAAGAGTTGATTTTCTCTTTCCACCATGTGAGTCCCGAGGATCGAATTCAGGTTGTCGGGCTTGGTGGCAAGTTCCTTTACTTGCTGAGCTATCTTGTCAGCCCCAATCTCCTATTTTTTAACTTCAGTTAATCTAGTGCTATAAAACACCCCAGTTTGAAAAAAATTAAAATTAAACAGAAATATCCCAATTTGGCAAGTTTATAGATGCTACAAAGGCTAAACCACATAAGTGCCTCGTGACATGCATTTGAAGTATGAGAGTGAGGAGGGAAGAGAGGCCTCTTTTGAACAAGTTGGCCTTTTCATCTGCCACTCTGGTCTAAGGTGATGGCATACATCTCAGCCATCCTTCCTTATGATGAGGCAGGACATAAGCCTCAGATATCCAGTCCTCTGGGGGAGTAATTACTACTCACTGGCTTCCTGAGCTGTGTTGATGTTCTGCCCCTGTTTTTGACCATGATTCACTGAGGCAATGATTTGATAATAAGAGATCCTGATTAAATTAAGGAGCCATTTGCTTCTGGATGATGATGTTATAAAAGGGTTGACGTCCACACTGCCTGCCTTTCCAAAGATCAAGAAATAGTCTTTATAATTTAGTATAAGCAGAAGAACAAGCTGTATATTTGTGCTTGTTTTTCCTTCATTGTTACAGGGGACAGGAAGGCGTTCTTTGCTTTTCCAGATGGCTCCTTTTGTTGCCTCACTTTTGTAGTTGAACTTGAAAGTGTCTACACTGAGAAGGTGCCTGAGTAATGAGTCTACAAACTGCTAAACTCTGTAAATTAGGATCAAGCACTCTGGGCTGTCATCTCTGGTTCATGCACACATGCATGTTCATACCTGCCTTTCTTAAAACAGCAGCTTTTTCAGTAGACTAGTTGCAGTCAGTGTGAGGCGGCTCTGCAGGGCCCCAGACTGGCAGGGCTGCTGGCAGTGTTAGATGTATTGGAAGTACAGCCCATCTGGAGTGTTTCAACAAGCAAGACAAGAAGGGGCTTGAAATACCCCCCAGTATACCACTTGTTCAGCCCATTTGAGTCAGGAGCCTTGAAATCCACTGATGCCTCATCCTGTAGACTGTGGAGGTGACATAGGCAGAGGGTGGGCAGGGCTGAGAATGCCCCGCCTGGCCTGGGATTGCCTGTGTTCAGCTCCCCGGGAGCTCAGGAACCACAGGGAGCTTGTAATTGGTCGATAGACCACACCTAGTTGCTGAGCGACTCTGCTGGCTGAAGACCTCTCAGCTCTGCCCAGATCGCTGGAGTGCCCATAAGTGTACCTTCACCAGACCAGAGAGAAGCAGTGGAAGAGCGTGAAAACTTTGCCAAGTGAGTAAGCTGGGAAGGGTGGGAAGCTAGAGGCTAGCTAGCACTGAGGGGAGCTGCTGGGCAAGGCAGCAATGAATGGGCTGACTTGTGACTCTTGGCATCTGAGGGTGGAGTGCATAAAACATAATCGGGAAGGGTATGAACACAGGGTCAAGTTGCTACTCATCACTTGGCATCCTGGCTGGCTGTTAGGCAAGCATGCTGGGGGCACACACACACACACAAATTCCTTAAAAATCTACCGTCGACAATCGAGCCAGGAGAATGATGGAGGAAATGAGCTGCTGCTTCCCCTCCATTGTCAGGCAGGCCCACCGACAGGGCTGCAGCTCGAGTGAAAACAAAACTGTCCTCCACCAGCCCATTAGCGGCATCAGCTGCATTAAAAATGCAAGAGATGGTGGGAAGAGGGGGCCGGGTTTGAGTCTAATGCAAAGTAAGGACTGGAAAAGGCCAGGCCCCTTCCGATTTTGGAGCTCAGATGCCAGCGAGAGTGTGCTGGGCAACTGCTGCTTTAGAAGGCACTTAAGTGCGGGGCATAACAGCACTTTGGGCTTCCTTCGCATTGGAAGAGTAACGTCCCGCCAAATGCATCCTGCGCTTGCTCAGGCTCCTGGTCTCTGCAGGGCGATGCCGGCCTCGTCCACTGTCCACGTGCTGCAGTTGCTGCGGGAGTTGCTCGCCTTCGTGCTCCTCAGCTACACCGTGCTCCTCGGGGCGCTTCTGCTGGCTGGCTGGACCACCTACTTCCTGGTGCTGAAGTGACAGCGCTCGGGCCCGCGCTCGCCCCGCCCCGCCCCGCCCCGCCCCTCCGCAGTCCGGGCTACCCCTCCTGGACTTGCCCTCTCCGGGCGCGGCCCCGCCCCGCCCAGCAGCCTACTGCCAGGGTCGCCAGCACCCCCGGCCCTGGAGCCTGCAGCGTCTTCCGCCCAAGGCCGAGCGGTTGAAAGCCAGGTGCGACCGTTACGGCCGTTTCCTGGTGCTCTGGCCCCGCCCACTCGGCCTGTCCAATCGCAACTGCGTCCTCTGGTGGGGGCGTACCCATGAGGCCCCGGGCTCCCTGGAGCGGGCTGCGCTCGCCCCTCTGCTCGCTATGCTGCGTCACTTCCGGCGTGTGCGTCCGGCGTCCGTCCGCCGCGGGATGGCCGCTCTGAGGAGTTGGATGTCCCGGAGCGTAGCTTCCCTGTTCAGGTACGGCGGCCGCTGCAGAGCGCGGGGAGCAGCGGAGCGGGGCGCGCAGCGCGGTGGTCCCGGGCCGCGTCCCACCTTCCTCCGCAGTGTGAGGAGGTCCCCGCCTACGGCCCCCGTCCTCCGTCCGTGACAGGCTCCCGAAGCGGGCGTCCTCCCCAGCCGGGCCGCCAGTATGATTCCGTTGAGCCTCCGGTCAGCTCAGAGTCCCTGAGGACACTGCGGTCCAGCCGGGCCACGGCGTGGGCTGCAGGCCTGGCCTGGCAGCGCCTTGTGAAGAGGGCACACGTCCCAGTAAACGCCGCCGCCGGACGCCAGCGCTGCTGTCGGGCTGCTGCCTCCTGGGCTTTGTTAGCGGGGACCATTAGACCCCTGGAACCCAGGCCGGGGTCCAAAGCTAAATCTCGCGGGCAAGAGAGTTTCATGTTGGCGTCAAGTTGCTGAGCAGCTCTGAAGCAACTCTAAATATCCCCACCTAGCGGAAAGCGCCCAAGCGCATTGGCCTGTAGCTATTGCGCGCCTCTGACTCCCGAGTGCTAGCATTAAAGGCGGACTCTGTTGGCTTCTGGGATTCAACAGGCCGCCGGGTGGTTTATTTTCTTGGAAGACCACTGCTACCTCCTCATTTAGTTTACTGCTTGGCTTCAGAAGCCTTTTACAGGTTTATTTGTGCTTTTTAAAATTTGGCTTAATGTTTTCAGGTATGGGCAGCGTGTGCCTGTTTCAGCTAACCCTAAGAAACACTGTTTCTCAGAGTTGATAAGACCATGGCACAAAACTATGTTGGCTGGATTCGGTGTGACACTGTGTGCAGTTCCTATTGCTCAGGTAAGGGCTGGTCATGTGACAATGGTAGGGTTAAAAGGGTCAGGGAAACAACACCCTGACCCAGACTTGACTCCAAGACTATTTCTCGGTCTTAGTGAACTCCCGAGCATCAGAGGAGCTGCTGCCAGAGTTTCCTGAGTACCGCCTTCTTCTGAGTTGAGCGAACTCCCCATTTTCATTGTCTATTGGTGTAGAAACAGTATTGTTACCTGGTTTTGTCCCCATTCCACAACCTCTCAGTTGAGGAACCAGTGAAACTGAGCATCAGTTGAACTGGGAATTCATATGTCACTTCTTGTTTTGTGTTGTTGATTATTAATACTTCTTATTGATTTATCTTTTAGTTAAACAGCGGTTATTCCTAAACCAGCTCTATACCCAAATCACCACACAGAGATTTGTTTTAATTAACCTAGAGCACAATTCTGGACAATAATTACTCCATCCTTTAAATCCCCAAGACTGCATAGCTTCCTCCCATTCAGATTTCCCACATTATACTTGCTTTTTAGTCATATCTTAGGTCCAGTTCATCTCTCCTGGTGTTTCCAGGTTCTCTCCTCTCAGATCTCTTACCCTCCTCTCACTAGCTTCCTTCTCTTCCCCTCCAGAGCAGGATGTCCCACCCTATTCTCTCCATTGCTCAGCATTGGCTGGTTGTTTAATTGGCAATACAGAGAACAAATGGTGGCATGTTTACACAAACTTGAGACAGGTGCTGGTTAGAATAAGCATCTCAATGCAATGTCTGGATTGAAACCAGATAATGGGGTAGAGAAATCAGCATGTGAATTAACAAGGGTAAATTGTATACATTCCATAAGAACCTTATACCAACAGTTTTGTTTTATGGTTTAGTCTTCACTGAGGTAATGTCAACTGTCCTGGTACTGGAAGGTACATCCATTGACTTTCCCTGGGACTATAAGGAAGTCTTCAGTTGCTTGGTTGTCACTGGCAACCATCTTAGATCCCACCAATCTAGACTCACCTACTTGAAGAGTAACGTAGACTGTAAAGGCATCCCGTTCTTGAAGATAAGCTTGGGACTAGCAGGACAGGATTAGTAGTGGAATGAAGGCCAGAGACTTAACCAGGAATCAAATTCAGGTCACTAGTCAGTACTTGGGTACACAGTACTTCAAGCTTCATAAAGGATAGACTGAAATAAAAGAATCTGATAGTCTGTTGGCAGGGGTCTTTCATTCAGCACAACTTTACTGAACAACTTTTTGTATCATACACTGGGAAGGTAAGAGGGGGAGAAAATAAAATTATTTTTTTTCTTGTTTTAAGATTTATTTTTTAGCTAGAGTGTTCTATCTGCATGTATACCTGCACCAGATCCCAGTATAGATTGTTGTGAGCCACCATGTGGTTGCTGGGAATTGAACTCAGGACCTCTGGAAGAGCAGACAGTGCTCTTAACTGCTGAGCCATCTTTCTAGCCCCACAAATTCTTACTATAAAAAAAAAATACATTCTGGGTAGAAAATAAGCAGCTATAAATTGAGTGTAGTGATATGTTCCTATAATTCCTTCATGGGGAGGCTAAAGCAGGAAAATCAAAAGTTTGAGGCTAGCTTAAGTTACTTATATCTTGAGGTGCTGCAAAATGCACTCCTTCTCCACCCCCCAAAAATAGGTGGTGGTGGCCGTGGCAGCAACCAGCATTTGAGAGGCAGAGGCATGTGGATCGCTGAGTTCTAGACCCTGGTCTACAGAGTGAGTTCCAGAACAGTCAGGGCTATTACACAGAGAAACCTTGTGTTGAAAAAAGGAAAAGTCCGCTGGTGATATAATGTAAAGAAAAATGGGCTGCAGTGGGATGAGACTGCTTCATTTAAGGGTGTTTGAGAAAGCCACTCTGGTAATGAGACCAATGGTAATAACCTGGGGAAGGGAGAAGCCCAGAAGCTGTATTTTGCGTGGTGTAAAAAGATGGGTGGAGGAGAATGAGGACTTGTCCAGTAGTGAAGCCAGACAGGTGACCAGGATCACCTGCTGTGATTGGTTTTTGGATTTTACTCTGAAGCCACAAAGGATTTGACGTTGGAATAAAATGACCTTGTGTAAGTTTTACGGTTATTGTTATCTCAGGGGGTGAGCAGGGTAATGGGAGCGTCTAGATGAGATGATGGTAAGTGCTAGCAGACAGCAGAGGGGATGGGGAGAGCTGTTCTATTTGAATTGTCATTTGCTCGGTCAGAGGAGGAGGTCTCCCCTGGAAGAAAGTTACATTTTGGAACTGTCAGTGAGCAGCACATATTAATGTGATGGGTTTTTGTAAACACTGGAGATGTGGTTTATGGAGAAGAGTTAGATAAGAAACACACAAGCTCATTTCAGCAAAATATTCCTGATCCTTTTATTTCCATTTATTGTAAGCACTTCTGACATCTGAGACTCATTAACATCCCCGTCTCATTCCAGCTGCTATCTCTGTATGCTGATGAACCTTAGCTCTAAGCTGCCCAAGTGAACATCAGTCATCTTGATGACAAGACAGTCCTTTTAAAATTACATTTAGCACATCAGTCCTAAATGTGAGGGTATGAGAGGAGAGCTCCAGGAAGGGTTGTCTGGCAACCTCAACAGCAGAGTCATCTTGCCAAGCTGCCAGCATTCTTTTTTCTTTGAGAATGGTGGGGTTTGTCCTCTTATCTTAATTTATAGCTTTATAAATCCGTTGCTAGGCAGTTCTGGGCTGTAGGACTAAAGCTGCCATAGCCATCTCCTGTAGTGTTGGTCTGCTCTTCAGAACTCCCATGACTGTTACATGTTACAGAGCTAATTGGAGCTAGTTCTGCCTGCACTCCAGTACCCTAACCAGTTTTCATTTCCTTCCTTCCAAGGACCTTAGCCATTCTGGACCTAACTTCCTCAGTACCAAGTCACATTCCTTTAAAGCCTTTCTGAGTTCCTAGTCAATTGCTTTCTCTTTCTGGCTACTAGATAAATGTGTTTTGATGTTTGATGATGATCTATGTGGTGCTGGTTGGGTCAGCAGAATATGAGAAAGTACAGGGTTAGGAGACAGTTTATTTTGAGGTTTAACTGGATGTGTGATTTCTAGGGAAAGTCCATTCTGTATGTGGATTTCATTGTCTGTAAAAAGTAGTGATACTCATCCTGGAAATGAGTGAAAACACATTGTAAAGTTAGTATTGTTATTCTCTGGTTTTCAAGACACTGTGTCAAAGTTTAGTTTCCTATCAGAGCTGCTGTTCTGTGTAGCTTTTCAGTTTGAGATCTGTATGAAATGTGGATGTAATGACATTCTTTCGTTTTGTTTTGTTTTTTTTTAATATTTTTTATTATGTATACAGTGTTGTGTCTGCATGTACACCTGCACACCAGAAGAAGATACCAGATCTTATTTATGGATGGTTGTAAGCCACCATGTGGTTGCTGGGATTTGAACTTAGGACTTCTGGAAGAGCAGCCAGTGCTCTTAAACTCTGAGCCATCTCTTCAGCCCTGTGATGAAATTTTTGATTCATTTACAAAACAAGAAACATTTCATGTTTTGAAGTCATGCTGCTTTTAACAGTTATTCTGTGATTTTTATACTCCATGCAGCAAAACCAAGATAGTATATACATCACAGAGCAGCTGCTGTTGATACAGTGAGGTCTCTGTTGAGAGGAAAAAGAATTTATTTTAAGTACTGGGTCAGTTTTCAGTCAGTGACCAATTCCCATAATTTTGTGTAGGGTTCTATTGATTTTTGGTTTTCAATGTAATGGCTGAGGTTAGAGTGAACAGCTCTTCCCCTGCTTCCAAGACTATTCCGCTCATTGCCTTCCAGCATCTGCCTATTTCCTGTTAAGACTCAGCTCATTCACATCAGACCTCTGAAGTCTTTTGCTAATAACACTCCAGCACAGGATTGGTGGTTTCCTGTGTGCCCTACTTATCTTATCAACTGCCACAGCTCCCTTGATACTGTTTTCTAGATGTTTGTTCTCTGCTTGCTGAAGTGAGGGAAGAGAATGTCTTTTTATAGATTTGGTTTTTCAGGACAGGGTTTCTCTGTGTAACAGCCCTGGCTGTCCTGGAATTCACTATGTGGACCTTGAACTCAGAGATCCGCCAACCTCTGCCTCCCCAGTGCTAGGGCTAGTCAATGTCTTTATATTTTCAGCATCTAACATCAAGTTATCAATTGTAGCTTTGTGAATTTGTTATTACTAGTTATTTTGTATAAAGTACTTTGTGCTCTGGATCTAAGAATGAAAGTAAGAGAGATACTACCCTGAGATTATATATCCCTGTGCTATCTTAAACCACCAAAGCCTGATGTTTTCCCAGAGAAATATGCTGATATAGTTTCGTAAGTACAAAGCGGCTTCAGGGCATCTTCTGAGACCACCAGGTTCTCATCGGTAGCTTTACACAGGTTGGAAGCAGAATAACTGTTTATCTTTCAGAAATCGGAGCCCCACTCTCTTAGTAACGAAGCGTTAATGAGGAGAGCTGTGTCTTTGGTAACAGACAGCACTTCCACCTTTCTGTCACAAACCACGTATGCGCTGATTGAAGCAATCACCGAGTATACTAAGGTATGTCTCCTTCGTGCTGTCTTTTTTTTTTTCAATGTTAAGAGATGGAATCCAGAGGTTTATGGGTGCCAGGGAAGTACTCTACTCCAGAGCTACAATCCTCACTGTCCTCTAAAGCATTGATTTGCTAATCCAGCAGTTTGCAAACTATGGCTCATAACCACATGTGGTCTAATAGCTGTGTTCATATTTTATTGGAACTTAGCCAGGCTTGTGTATATACTGAGAGTTTAGGTAGCTTTAGCAGAGCTCATAAAGCTCTTGCGCCTCAAATACTTATTGTTTGGCCCTTAAAAAAATGTTGCTGAGAGCTGGGTTTTGTATTAGCTCATTCGTAGAATGCTTGCCTTGGTATTATTCTCAACAACTTGGTGGTGTTCACATATAACCAGCACTTGAGTAGAGGCAGGGGGATGAGAAGGTCAAGGCTAGTTTGAACTGTGAGACTCCTTGTCTGAAAAAGAGTACTGGAGCACAGGCTTCACATTTCTCAGCACTTCCTTCCCCCTTTATTTTATAGGAAAATTGAAAAGGCAGGCTGCGTGTGACCCTAGTATTTAGGAGGCAGAGGCAAGCAGATCTCTGCATTCTGGACCACCTAGTTGACATAGTGAGAACCTTTCTCAAAAAGTGAGACCAGAGGGCTGGAGAGATAGCTCAGCGGTTAAGAGCACTGGCTGTTCTTCCAGGGGTCCTGAGTTCAGTTCCCAGCACCCACATGGTGGTTCACAACCATCTATAATGAGATCTGGTGCCCTCTTCCGGCATTCAGGGTCTATATGCAGATAGAGCATTCATATATAAAATAAATTTTTTAAAAGCATTTGAAGCTGGTGAGATCACTCAGGAGGTTGAGTACTGGCTGCTCTTCAAGAGGACCCGGGTTAAATTCCCAGCACCCACATGGTAGCTCATACTTGGCTGTAATTACAGTTTCAAGGGATCTGACACACATGGAGGCAAAACACCAACACACATAAAATAGTTTTAAAAACAAGGCACCTAAAGAAAAGGCCAGGAGGTGGTGGTGTATGCCTTTAATCCAGCTCTCAGAAGGCAGAGGCAGACAGATTCTGAGTTTGTTGCCAGCCTGGTCTACAGACTGAGTTCAAGGATAGCCAGGGCTACACAGAGAAACCTGGTCTTGAAAACCCAAAAACAAAAAAAGTGCCCAGGGAATACTGGGGTGTGGAGTATAGTGTTGGGTCCTCTTGAGCTGGAATCACGCAGGTGGTTGTGAGCTGCTCAGTATGCACTCTGGAAACTAAACTGTGCAAGAGCTTGTGACCAGAATCAGCTGACCCACTCATCTGAGTGTCTGAGTCAGGAAAGCAGGGCTCTCTACTCATGGCAGTCCTTATGACAATGATCCATGACACTAAAGGGCTAATCTCCAGTCCTGGCTGAGAGAAAAGTGCTACCCACATGAGAAATTTTTCATGTGTAGCTCAGGCTGGCCTCAAGTTTCCTCTGTTATCCCAGGATGGCCTTAAACTTGAAATCCTCCTGCCATAGCCTCTTGAGTGTTGAGATTACAAGTATACATTCCCACCCCAGGATTTTGTTTTCTGAAGGTATGAACATCACTAGTCCTTTTGCTTACTCAGTTTTGTCTTTTGTCCTCACCCTGGGGCCTCTCCAGGACACATTCCTGACTGGAATCTCTCTGGTTGTGGTCAAGGTCCTGTCCTGAGGGGCATGCATGGGCCACTAGTCCCTGAGAGCCTAGGTTAAGGACTCCTTCCTGCAAGTTTCCAGCCATGATGTGCCTCTGTTGAACCTCTTCACAGATTGAGGGTTTATTAAACTTCCCCTTCCAGGGCAGAGGCTTACTCGCTTATTTATTCTGTTTTTAGGCTGTTTATACGTTAGTGTCTCTGTATCGACAATATACAAGTTTACTTGGGAAAATGAATTCACAGGAGGAAGATGAAGTGTGGCAGGTGATTATAGGAGCCAGAGTTGAGGTGAGCACACTTGTTAGTCATTTCCTAGACTGGTCTTCATATGGTGACTAAACTGTTCTTGAGAGTCACTGTGTTAACCCTTCATGGTATCTGGAGCTCTTTTCTAAACTTGCAGATGACTTCAAAACAGCAGGAATACTTGAAGCTGGAAACCACTTGGATGACAGCAGTTGGCCTTTCAGAGATGGCTGCGGAGGCTGCCTATCAAACTGGTAGTTAAAGGGTTGGGGTTCTTTGTTCTTTTAATTTAGTTGCTAAACAAGGATTTTAGACTGTCTGATGGTACAAATTATCTTTTAGAGCAGTGGTTCTCAACCTTCCTAATGCTGTGACCCTTTAAGACAGTTCCTCATGTTGTGACCTCCAACCATGAAATTATTTTCATTGATTTTGTTACTGTTATGAATTATGATGTAAATATCTGATATGCAGGATATCTGATTTGCGAGCCCCAAAAGAGTCATGACCAAGGAACAACTGGTTTAGAGGTTTTCTTCATTTCTATGTTGTTTTGAGACATGGTCTCATGATGCAGCCTTGGCTAGCCTCAAACTCACAATACGTACAACAGGCTCACAACAGTATATAGACTCACAATATATATATATATATATATATATATATATATATATATATATATATGTACAGACTCAAAACAGTCTGACTGGTTCAGCCACCCAAGTGGTTGTAGACATGAGCCGCCACTTCACGCTTTGACATTTTATTTGCATTCACAGAAGTTATGCTGCCAGTGTCTAGAAAAATAACTAGTAAAACTGTTAAAATGTTTCCATCTTTTTATAGCAAAGGACACAGTATCATAAAGAGTGTATGGCCCGCTTAAATAAGACAGTAGAGATGAAACCAGCAGAGCATTTTTTTTTGTTCAGGCTCTGTGGTGGCATGTTCCTTTAACATGGAGCTGGTATTGTCACTCCTACTCTGAAGACCCCAGGCTACAGCTAGGAAGTGACCAAACTGAAAATCAGCCTTTGCTTCAATTTTCCTTGTATGCAAATGTTAAAGCTGGATATGGCGGCTCATGCTTATAATCTTAGCACTTAGGAGGCTGAGGCAGAATACTCAAAAAAGGAAAAAAACATATAGGTTAACATGCTGAAAAAAGGGAACCTCAGAATTAGGGCCAGAGCTTTGTTAAACTCTTATTTTAGAGCCCAGCATAGAAAATGTAAATGGTTTCCTTTCTGTAGCAAGGTATGACTTGACTGTCATTGTCTAGTGGACCTCAGAAATGATTAAATATTCAATATGTAATTGGATCCAATCCCAAACTAAATGGGACTTACCTCAAAATATCAGATTAAGTCATAAAATAATTTATTTGATTTTGAGATAGGGTGTCTCTGTGTAGCCCCAGCTTTCCTGGAACTCGATCTGTAGACCAAGCTGGCCTTGAACTTGAGTTTTTCCTGCCTTGCCTCCCAAGTGCTGGGATTAAAGGTGTGTGCCATCAGCACCACATGGCTGAGGGGAGTGTTAACAGGGTTTCACTCTGCAGCTCAAGACAACATTAAGCTTACAGTGATCCTTCTACCTCAGCCTCCAAGTGCTAGGACTGTAGGCATGGACCACCATTCTAGCAGGCTTTAATTTTTTGTAAGGCCTGTGTGCTACATAATCATATTTTATACCATACTGGAGAAAAATGAGTATACTTAGTGATTACGAAAATGAAACAAGGTATGAAAGCAGGGTTGTAGAGTGAGTACCTCTCCAGATGTGGTGGGCAGGTTCCCAGGAGGTGCCAAGAACATCGAGGGCCTCCTAGGGATCCTCACCACTACTGGGGAGAAAAAAATCTCTGTTCAGAAATACTAAACTGTGGGCCAAAGCTTTTTTCAGAGAAAAATCTTAAGTCCTGTAAGGTACTAGAGGAAGTAGTTGACTTATCCTGCAAAAGTACATGCAAAATAATTGATAGCAAACTAAAGTTTCATATTTGATTAAACAGACTTTTCCATCTGCCTTCACTTCCAGAAATACTATTCATGAGTCAAGTTTGAAAGCAAGAAACTTACTTTTCTAAAACTGGGAAAAGTTTTACTGTATAAAAGTAGCTGGGAAGTGAAAGCATATGGGAAGCTTTCCTGAGAAGTACAGGTGCTGGTTTCATGCACCACAAAGAATTGTGAGGAGGGGACAGAGAACATGGTAGATTCAGCTGATGCAGAAAATGAAGTAAACTGTTAGAAGATACAAATAGCTGATCATGGAGGTACACTCCTTTAACCCCAGCACTCAGGAGACAGAGGCAGAAGGATCTGCTGTGTTTGAGGCCAGCCTGGGCTACAGAGTGAGTTAGAGGACAGCCAAGGCTACACAGAAACCCTGTCTCAAAAAGCCAAACAAACCACAAAATACAGACTAAGGGATTGGGAGCTAGTCTAGTGCCTGAGTTCAAGCCACAGTGCCTATGCAAAAACCAGGCATGGTGGCACACACTTGTAATTCTAGGGAGGTGGAATCCCTGGGATTTGCTAGTCAGCCTAGCTTAATTAGTGAGCCGGAGGTTTCAGTGAGACACATGCCCAAGGTTGGCCTCTGCCTCTCCCCCAGGCATGCATGCACACCTGCACAAAATACAAAGTAATGTGTAGGAACAAGATCAACAGTACTCATAAAAATAAACCTATTAAACAGGCTGTGCCAGAAAGATAGTTTTAGGGCCAGCAAGATGGTACAGCAGATTAAAGCTCTTGCCACCAAGCCTAATGACCTGATCTTAGTATCTGGAACCCACATAGTAGAAAGAGGACTCCCATAAGTTGTCCTCTGACCTTCACCCGTACACTGGTATCACACATGTGCCCCCACACATAAGTATGGAAAACGTTCTAAACGTCTTACAGAAGCACACCTAGGAAAAGGTGGGAAATTATGAAAAGAAAAACTGAAAAATAAGCAGCAACCCATAGAAGCTAACAGCAATTTCAGAGGATAGAAGAGCAGAACAACAAGGCAGAAACAGACACAGTTACAAGTGGGATGAGCAGGTGGGCGGTGGGCTACACCTGTGACCCCAGCATCGGGGAGGCAGAGGTAGATGGGTCTCTGAGTTGACAGTCCGGTTGTGTAGGTAGTCCCGGGCTAGGAAGGACTAGTTAGTGAGGCCCCATTTCAAAAACAAACAAGTGGGATGAGCTTTGCATCTCCAGAGACCTGCTAGTCAGAGATGTGGAGATCATCCTCTGTCTTCTACCTTTGTCAGTGAGCCGAGCTCTGTCAGTCAGACCTAGAGCTCGCCGTGTGCTCATCCCTAGCTAGCTTGCTCTGTAGATTGCCTCTCCCATTTCTTCCTTCCAAGGCTAAAATTGTATGAGTCTTTTCTGTCCAGCATTCACATGGGTTCTGGGACCCAAACTCTGGTCCTTGAAGTTGAGCAGCAAGTGGTTAACCACTAAGCCATCTTGACAACTATTTAAAAAAATAATAATAATAATTAATACTCACGAGATACACACATACAAAAAGTGTTGACCTGCCTCCCAAAAAGTACGTATGCATTTAAGAGAAAGCATACAAAGACTGATTTTGTACCATTGATTCTCTGGTTGACCTTCAGAACATTACCAATATTCCTGGTCTGTAAAGCTAAAACATGCTTCCTGAGGTGGGGCTGTCGCTCAGTGGCAGTACCTTGGCATGCATGGGGCTCTGGTTTCTTAACAACTCAAGGAGCTGGGGAGAAGGCTCAGTGGTTAAGAGTACTTAAAGAAGTCCTGAGTTCAATTTCCAGCAATCATATGGTGGCTCATAACCACTTATAATGTGATCTAATGCCCTCTTCTGGCAGGCAGGCGTATATGCAGATAGAGCACTCAAATACATAAATAAATCTTGAAACAAAACAAAACAAACCATAGCTGGGTGTGGTGCACATGCCTTTAATCCCAGAACTTGGGGAGCAGGGGCAGGCGGATCTGGGCCAGTCTGTTTTACAAAGAGTCCAGGACAGCCAGACTACACAGAGAAACCCTGTCTTGAAAAACAAACAAAACATACAAGCTGAGCACAGTGGCGCAAGCCTGTAATCCCAGCACTCAGTAAGAGTGACCTTGGAGGCTAGTGAGTGCCGATTCCTACAAGCTGTCCTGGCTTGTACAGGCACACCCAGCCACTGGATACGGAAACTAATAAAAGTGCAAGCTCAGAAAAGCAGGCCCAAGATCAGATGAAAGAAAAATATGTGAACCTGAGATTAACTAGTAGGCAAGCTCAGAAAAGACTAGAGCAGATGGGAGTGGGTGTAGCTGTGAGGACAGGGCTGGGATTTTGGTTGTGACGGTCTCTACAGGCACTGTGGCCTAACATCTCACTAGTGATGCAGTACAGTAAAGGCCCTCACACGAGGAGACTCTCCTGTGTACAAGGTGCTCCTTCCAGTCACCACAGGGATCTAGTGTTGCCATCACCTCCAGCAGTGTTTGGGGACAGGGTCTTGGGGTTTAAAATGAAGAGACCATCACTGTCCAAAAAGAACTTGGAAAGTCTGTGACTCTTTCTTGGCTTAGGGATCAGGCTTTTCGATTCTGGGCTTACAAATCACTCCCTGCTTTGTACTTCCCTTGAAAGCACACAAATCAGAATCAGAAGCACAAAAGAGCCAGCTGTGCATCCAGCTGTGAATTGTTGAGCTCTTGCCCTTTGTACAGCACCACAGAAAGGGGAGAAATTGGGCTGACTGGGCTCAGCAGGTAAAGGCTACTGCCACCAAGATCCAAATTCTGATACAGTGAGAACTGGCTCCTACTAGTTGTCCTCTGACTTCCACATGCACGCCATCCTCCACCTTGAAATAAAATGGAGAAGCTACTAAACACGAGCACCATCTGACAGATGACACACTAACATTTCAACCTAACACATGGTCTAGGTACACAAGTGTGTAAGAGACGGATGTCAAATATAACACAGCACCCAGAGACCATGTAAATCTTTACATAAATCCAAAACAGGCTGAAGAAGAATCCATAATGAAAGTTGAAATTGCATCCAAAGATGGACACCAAGCCCAGGTTATTTTAGGGGAAGAGTTAGACGATGATCTTCAAAACTAAAATTCCAGGTTGGAGAGAGAACTCAGTGGGCAATATGCTTGTTGTTGTACAAACATGAGGTCCCAAGTTCAGATCCCCAGCACCCATACAGAAACAAGTCAGGGTGGCACACCTGCAGTACTCTAGTGCTGGGAGTGGGTCCCTCTTCTTTCCTGGGGCTTGCCTGGCTAGCCACAGTAGCCTAATCATCAAACCCCAAGTTCAGCCAAGATCCCGGTTTCTAAAACAACAACAACAAAAAAAACAAGACAAAACAAACACAACACTAGTGTGCATGAAGTGCTGACAAGCCTGTAATGGAATTGTATGAAGCCAACAGATGCCAAGCTGAACCCAAGGCAGCACAAAACTTAACAGTTGATTTTGACTGACTTTGAAATAGTCAAGTCAAATATCACTGCAAGTAAGATGCAGTGACAGCCCAACACAGGCAATATGCAAATGAAGCTCCCACCTGGGTATGGGTTGAGGCAGGAGGAGAATTCAAGGCCAGCCTGGGTTGTGTAAGGAGACCCCAATGTTTTGTCTTTAACAATTAGGTACATGTATTTGTGTCTGTGGTTATATAGGTGCATGTAATGCAGTTGCCCCAGAGTCTAGAACAGGGCATCAGATCCCCTGGAGCTCAAGTAACAGGTGCTTGTGAGCCACCCAACATGGGTACCCCAACTTGGGTCCTCTGGAGCATCAAGCACTCTTGAGCCCTGGGGCATCTCTTTAGCATCCAATACCCTATATCTCCTCAAAAGAAATAAGATGCAGACCTAAACTCCAAAGCCTGGATGTCAGGGAAGGTAACCTCACAAGGGCTGGGCTGCCAGCCTCAGGCTGTCGTGTGTGACTTCTCACTGTGGTGCTCAGTGCAACTGTCCATCTTTTGACAGGAGCAGATCAGGCCTCTATAACTGCCAGAAATCACATCCAACTGGTGAAGTCACAGGTGCAGGAGGTACGACAGCTCTCCCAGAAGGCAGAAACCAAGCTGGCCGAAGCACAGACTCAAGAACTACACCAGAAAATCCAGGAAGCCGGTGATGAGAGGGCTGACCAGGAAGAGGAGGCCTACTTGCGTGAAGATTGAGGGCTTGAGCTCAGTGCCCTGTCCACCCACCCAGTGGGGAAAGCGGTGGATGGCATTCACCTAGTGTCACCCCAACTCCACAGAGGCAACAGGTTCTGCCTTTGCCCATCAGACCGGAAGCCTTTTGTGAGCTGTGCCTGGCCCCTTCTCTCTGGTCTCACTCAGCCTTTATGGTCCTGATTCTTAGCCCTCGGGCATGGTTCGATACTCCCTCAGCACAGCTCCTCTTTTGCTGATCTTTTTATCTCACACCAACCTGGGCCAGAGGAGGAAGGGTCTTTCCTGCCACACCTTTCAGTTCATAGCTGTTTTAGCTATAGTTTTTAATATTACTCAGATTTTCAAGTATGATTTAGCATTTGCTCCTCCACAGGGCAGGAAGGAGCCTGTCTGGTTTGTTAAGATTTCTGTTATAATGTGACCACAGCTCAACTAAGGAGCCACTCAGAGCATGAACAGTGTTCACCTGGTGCTCCCCACGGGACCTTCTCTAACACATGCTTCTTGGTTGTTCCTTCTTTCCTTTGAGTTTCTCTGCTGTGTCCAAAGGAACAGAAGTTTGATGTTTGCAATAATAATAAAAAAAAAGCTTTGGGGCTGTCATACAGCGTCCTTCCTTCACTGCCTAGGTGGTAGGAGTGAAGGGGCACTGGGGTCCCTACAGCCCTCCGGCAGCATACACTCCCATCAGGACATGCTGGGCAGGGTTGCCAGGTTTCAGCACTTTTAATCAAATAAGGTTGGTGGCATTATAAAAAGAGATCCATTCTGCTGGCCTGCAGGGACCAGCTTTCAGTATTGTTTCTCCTGTGGTAGGCGTTCCACAGTCCCTCGGAAGCTTTGCTCACCCCAGCCCTCAGGGCTGGGGTCTGCTGGTAGCTGCACATGTGAGCTTCTCGTCTGTCACCAGTGCCCACATGGTCCACATCTCCAGGGGGCTTAGACGGTGAACCAGCAGGAGCCCTCTATACAGGCAAGGGTCCCAGGGGTCCAGGGGTTGCTGGATTCCAAATGTCTTGAAGCCGGCATGGTGTGTGGGGCTCACCCCTAGCTTTCTCAGGCACATCCCCACAAAGACATCATCAATGGGGAAGAGTTCTGCCTCCTCCATGGCTGTGTGAAGACGCCTCACAGTGGCCTGGGACATGACGTAGCCGCCGCCTCCTGCGTACGGTGGATAGTGGTGGGCCCTGTACATGGAGAATGGGATGAAGTATTTGACTTTGGAGTTCCTGTTGGGCCTGGCCAGGCGGATGACATCTCCCACTAAGAGGTCCTGGGTTGGATCCCAGCCCTCTAGGAACTCGAGCACATTGGGAACGTGGATAAAAACATCATCGTCTCCCTTTAGTATGAAGTGGGCCTGTGTGCAGGCAGCTGCCATCCAGCGCTGCACATGCAGCTCCTTGAGTGTCAGGTTGAAGAAGTCTTCAGCAAAGTCCCACTGCAGGATGTCATCAAACTGCCAGCTCTCATAGGCCAGCAGCTGGGCTGGGGGTGCAGGTCCTGCCACCCCCAGGAGGAACACCAGCTTCAGCTGCCGGCCCCTAGCCCAGCTCCCAGCCCTGCCCCAAGTGCTTCGAATGGCTGCACGCTGCTCAATATGACCAGGCTGTGACTTGATGACCAGGAGCAAGAAGGTGTCCCTGGCACATTCCGAAGGCTCCAGCAAGATGGAGAAGTTTCGGCAGTGTCGATAGGTTAAAAAGAGGCGATGCCGGCTGGGTAAAGACAGGGAAGTGTTAGCAATTGCTAGGTTGGGTGGGCACTGGCTGTGGTGAGGCCTTGGCAGCGCCTGGAAATGCTGGCGGGCCTTGAAGCTGACTGCTGGTGTGTGCTCCTTCAGAAAGAGCAGGCAGCTGAGCAGCAGAGCCACAAGGCTGCAGAACAGCACACAGCCCAGACTGCGCAACATAGTTGAAGCCCTGTGGGGAGAGAGCACCTGAGCGAGGCTCACACAGCCCGTTTCAGGAGCAAAATGAGTTATCTGCAACCCTTCAGCTAAACCCTTGCCCAACTCTGGGACTTTTGGTTTTCAAAAAGGGTCTCATTTTGATTAGGCAAGCTTAGCCTTGACCAGCGGCATGTCTCTCACCTCAGCCTCTCCACGCACTGAGATCATGAGATGAGCCACTCTGCACAGGTCCTCCCTGGAGGAAAGACTTAAAAACTGCCCTGCAGCCCTCAGCGGCCTGGGGGGGCTTCTCTCTCCCATGTGGCCTGTAGCTATTGTAAAGCTGAGACAGTCAACATTCTCAAGTACCGTATGGAATTTTGGGAGCAACAGTGTAGCTTTAGTCTTGAGTCATGTACATTATAAGCATGAAACACGATACGGGGCTTTGCGGATGCACAACGTGAAGCCTACAGTCAGCCTGGTCCCTGGCAGGCCCTGTACTGATGCCTGGGTAACACAGCCCCAGCAACAGCAGAGCCCCAGGCCTCTCGGGAGGGGAACTGTACGACAGGGCAACAGGCAGCGGTGGTTCACAAAACAAAAACCACAGAGCGTGAGAAGACGCTGGGGGAAGAGGCCTAGAGTCAGGGGCTCTGTGGACTACATGCCAACCTCCCTCAGGATTCTGCTTCCCAGCGCCCAGGTCTTCGGGAACGGACCTCAGACTTCCCTCCCTGTCACTGTTACCTCAGGTCACTGTCCAGCTTTGCCATGCATCCTGCCTAAAAAAGTTTTGATTTTTTTTTTTTCCCCAAGACAGGGTCTCGTGCCCAAAATAACCTCAGACTTGCTGTGTAGCCACGGATGACGCTGAGCACCTGGGCACCCTGCTTCCACCGCCCCAGGGCTGGGGTCACAAGCAGGGCTTCGTGAGGTGCTGGTGGCATGCGCGCTACTCAGGCGTTACAAGTTTTCTACTAGCTCTCCTTGCCTCTTTCCCTCGGAGGCTGGAGCCTCAGCCAGAGCCAGCCCCGCACCTAAACACGGGGAAGAGAGCACAGGTGTGGCAGCCAAATGTCTGAATACCCATGACCACATCTCTTTCCCATCCTTCGGTTCAAAACGGTCTATCTATAGCAGGCATGAGACAGAGCAGATCCTAAGAACGAAGTGATTGAGGAAAGGCCACAAGACCTTGGGACACTGGAGCAAGAGCACGAAGCGATGGGACAAAAAGTGACATGAAAAGAAAACAGCCAAGCTCTGCGCTGAAGCAGGGGCCAGGCAGACCAATCTGAGGATGAGAGCCTCCACGGAGGCTGGGGCGCTGCTCACCAAGGAGAGCTGGGAACGCTCGGCGAGGCTGAGCAGCACCGCCCGAGGGCGCAGCCGAGGAGCAAACGGGTGCCACTGCTTTAAAGTGATTCTTACTGCGGACGAGGGGACAGGATGTGAAACATCGGGGGCGGGGGGCGGGAGGGGACTCAGGCTGCTAGAAAGTTCTTAGGCTGCAAAGTGGATGTGGGCCTTGTGGGAATACGGGGACCGCAAGAGCCGCCACTGCTCGAGGATCGCAGGTGTGAGGAGTGGATCGCAGGTGTGAGATGAGGAGTCCGCGGCCGTCCGCGCCACTCACGAAGCGGGAGGGGGTTCTGGTCTGTCCCGCGACCCGGTGGCCCGCCCACGCCGCAGCCCCCGGAAAAGCCCACTTCCCTGCCGAACCTCCGTCCCGCGGTCCTCCCTCCGCACTACGCGCCTTGGGCCCCGCGCGCCCTCGCCCGCGGGGTGTCGGCAGCCTCGGGCTCTGGGGAGCGGGTCCCGGGAGCTCCGCTCTTTCAACCTGAATCTACGCGGCAGCGGGCGCCCGGGCCCGCGGGGCGGGGCGCCGGGGCAGCCGCCCAGACCGGACCCGAGCCGGAGCGGCCACAGAAAGCCCGCCCGCAGAGGCGCCTGCGGGCTGCGGCCGCCGTCCCTCCCGCCAACGGGATCCCGGCGCCGCGGGCCGCGCGACCTCAGCCCGGCCCCCTACAGCACCTACCTAAGCTCCCGCGGGGGCCGCGCACCGGCACGGGCGACGCAGCCTCTCACCTGGAGAGCTGGGACCCACCCCCCGGTGGGCGGGGCTTCGGGGGCGAGGCTCCCGGCGAAGGCGGAGCTCGGGCAGGGGCGGGGCAACGCGAGAGGGCGGGGCTCCGATGGAGCAACGGCGAGACTCCGCGGAGCGACACTGCAGGGGGCGGGGCCACGGGCTCCGCGCTCCGCCCCAGGACGCGCCCGCGGGCTGCTGGGAGCCCAGCGCTCCTCCCCACGCCCGTGGGGCGGCCCGCGCCACGCCCCTTCCCCGACAGGCAGCTCCACAGACTCTCGAGCTCGGGCCGCCGTGGAACCTTTACTCTCCCCGCTAGTCAGCCAGGCCGAGGAGTACTTCCTCCACCGTTCGGTACTGCTGCAGCTGGATCTGGATCTCCACTGTCAAGGGCTCCAGCTGTTCCACGTTTTCGATGATTGGGGTCGCCGGTTTGGACCTCTCTGAGAAAATAAAAGTGAGAGCAGCTGAGTCTTAAGGGACAAAGGGGCTGCAGGTCTTCCCGAGACGTGCTCCTCTCTCATCCCAGAATTCAAGCCCTGTCCTCCGACCTAGAGAAGCTTGGCTTCCGAAAGAGATCCAGAATGTTAACCGCAAAAAAGAATAAACTGCATCTAATGAGGTCATTGAATAAGCCTCAGCTGTTTGAGTTGCAAAAGAAATTAGCTTTTTGCCGCCAACGCTGACTGCCTGAGGTCCATCCCCAGGACCCACTTGTCCCTGTGACCTCCACGTGCAAACTACAGCCCTCGTGTGCACGTACACGTATAAAATAAATGCATAAATAATGGAAAAAGAAAGAAAAAGGAAAAAAAGACACCGAGGATGTAGCTCAATTCGTGGATGGCTTTTTGTAGCCCTAGCTTTGATCCCCAGCACTGCATAAGAGAGGGGAAAACTGAATATTTTGCAGGGTGTTTTTTTTTTTTTTTTTTTTTTTTTGGTGGTGGTTTGTTTTGTTTTTTGAGACAGGGTTTCTGTAGCCCTGGCTGTCCCGGAACTCACTATGTAGTCCAAGCTGGCATTCTACTCCTACCTCTACCTCTCAAATATTTTCTTATTCATGAAGAAATCATGAAGCCAGGTGTGGTGGTGCACATCTGTAATCCTAGCCCTTAGAATGTGGAGGCAGGAAGATCAGGAGATTAAAGTCGTCCTCAGTTACATTGCAAGTGCAAGGCCAGCATAAGCTACATGAAACCCTGTCTAAAAAGAGAGAGGGAGGGAAGGCTGATGAGATAGTGTGCCAGGTAAACGCTCCTTACATCCAGAGTTCAATCCCTTTCCCTCCACCACGGTGGAAGGAAAAAATGGACTCCTGCAGGTTGTCCTCTGACCCCTAAACAGGCACCATGCACAGTAGATATACTGATACACACACAGATCTAAAAAAGAAAGCAAAAACTTAGCACTTACTGAATTTGTTGTAAGATCCAAGAAATATTCACAAACCCTCTTTGAATTCCCCCTTAAAATACTCCCTTTGGGACAGGCTATAGCTCAGGGATGGAACACTTGCCCAGCATGGATTTCCAGGGATGATCCTTAGCAGCCCTCAGAGAGGAAATAAGCTCCCCTCTTTTTCAGCTTTCTGTGGGTTATGAGGTTGGCTTTCCCTGTGTCTGTCAACCAGAGCAGCACGCCCCCAACTAGACTGCAGCTGCAGCTGCTCCCAATCAAGCCGGACAGTAAGAGACAAAAGTGTTTTATTCAAACAAACAAACAAACAAACAAACAAACAAAAAACCTTACAAAGTATCCTCACAGTCTGGTGTCACAAGACAGATCCCTGTAGTCCACTATGGTGTGGCCTCCAAGTTTTTTTGTTTTAAGGCAGTGTCTGTCATTAGTCTGAAACCCAGGGAGCCTAGCTGGTCAACCCCGGGGGTAAGTGCCTCTTTCATCAGCATTGGGGTAACAATACCTCAGGTGATTTGTTTTCTTGTTCTATTCTAAGGGATTGTTTACTTGTTTGCAAGGGGTGGCTTTTTTTCTTCTGTTTGTTTCTTGAGACAGATTCAGGTAGCCAAAGCTAGCCTTAAACTCATGTAGCTGAGGATGACCTTACACTCTCAATCCTCTTGTTCCTGCATCCCAGGCCTGTACCACCATGCCTGACTGGAAGTGTTTCTATTAAAGGCACGGAATGCTATAAATTAAAAACTTTAATGGCACCCCACTAATTTTGAGTTCAAGGCTAGCCTGGTCTACAATAGAGTTCCAGGCCGTTCAGGGAGAAACAGACAGACCCTGACTCAACACCACCAACAATAACAACATCCCCTGCCCCCGAAATCTAACACACCGGAAACTGAGGCAGGATTATGAGTTCCAGGCTACTATGGGCTACACGAAAGAAAGAAAGAAAGAAAGAAAGAAAGAAAGAAAGAAAGAAAGAA